AAAAATACCTTACGAAGTGTTATTATAAGAGCAATGTGGAGTATGATCAATGCTGATGACGCCATAACAATGTCATAGTTATTTTGTGTGGCTATGTCTGCATCGACCATGCTCTTCAAGTGTTATTCTAGCACAATGAGGTACATGCCAGAACAACCTTGGCCATTACTCGGCGATACACCTCCCCCACCGAGCAGCACCCGCCAATGCAGTGGCAAGACTGTTGAATGCACCCCCGAAGGAGGTCAACATCCTCTTCCAGGCAGTCACGTCCAAACCAGACGGCCCTCCGGACCCCGCATGCGACCAATAGCCTTCTTGACTGCCTCTGCCGTTATTCCATCAAACATAGTGGGATTGACAGGCTCAGCATTTCCGGGCAGGAGCACAGAGTCGGCCGTATTAACGGGCTGTGCATACTTCTGCTCTAATACATTACGTACTGTAGTACATTACGTACTGTAGTACCAGCAATAGTGTTGACTATGTCACCCGGTTTCAATGGTTCACCCGAATTGCCAGCCGAATTGCCACCCGAATTGCCACCCGAGAGGCCACGCAAAGCCTGATGAAGTCCATCACTGTAGATTAAAGGGGAAGTATAGCCTAAAATCAAATGTTCACCAGTTGTAGTCTTCAGGGTGCTGAGTCGAATGGTCTTGGTCCGAGGAAGCTGAGACGCTCCCTTCCTCCTTTATTCCCAATCGAACTCGCGCACTTCCACCGAAACTGGGTGACTGCGCCCTACTAGATAGGGATTTGTATGGAAAAAGTCACTAAAACGCCGTTTCGTTCTTATAAAAGCACGGATGACCGCGATTGGTCCATATGTTGTAGTCTTTTGGCCGCTGAGTCGACTGGTTTTGGTCCGAAAAGGCTGCGATGCAGCGTTCGGCCCTTATTCCCAATCGAACACGGTTGAGTACGCGGTCACGTGCTCATTTACAGCCTGTTTGGGCCCGTTTATGTCACTCGAGTTGAACCTTTGAACCAGGGAGTCGTAAAAGCCTCTTACGACTCCCTGCTTTGAACCTTTGAGTTGAACCTTGATGTGAAAATTGTAGCCTGCAGGCACGGTGACCAGGCGACTGGTGTACGCATGAGCACGTGACCACTTACTCAACCGTGTTCGATTGGGTATAAGGGCCGAACGCTGCATCGCAGCCTTTTCGGACCAAAACCAGTCGACTCAGCGGCCAAAAACCTACAGCATATGGACCAATCGCGGTCATCCGTGCTTTTATAAGAACGAAACGGCGTTTTTAGTGACTTTTTCCATACAAATCCCTATCTAGTAGGGCGCAGTCACCCAGTTTCAGTGGAAGTGCGCGAGTTCGATTGGGAATAATGGAGGAAGGGAGCGTTTCAGCGTCCTCGGACCAAGACCATTCGACTCGGCACCCCGAAGACTACAACTGGTGAAAATTTGATTTTAGGGTATACTTCCCCTTTAACTTAGCAAACATTGTGTCGGACATCTCACAGTCAGTCATCACGCATCCCGGAGGAGGGAGGAGATGAGCTTGCACACACCTGCTCTCGCCAAGCAGACCAGATAAGTCACCAGCTTTCCAGGCATCTAGACAACGCTGCAGATGCGACATTTGATCCTTACTCTTGCTATGGTGGCTTGGTTTGTGAAGCAACAGATGGCAGGCGACAGCAAACACACTCCCAAGTGACGACCGCAAGTGGAGAAGCAGATTCGAATGCTTCAACGAAATCCACAAGAAGTGACACAAACTGCCGGCTCACTGAGCCTGAAGAAATCAGAGTATTTTGCGGAACGAGTACTCACTCGTTTCAAATTTTCTCGAGTATTTGATAGACCGTATTTCCCCGATTATAAGTCGCACCTTTTTACACTAAAATTGAGGGTAAAAAAGGTGGTGCGACTTACAATCGAGCATGACTTACTATTGAAGTGAATATATCGCAACAATATTGCTCAAACCTGAAAATGGGGGTGCGACTTATGATCGGGGAAATACGGTACTCGTTTCACCCCTAGTTCCGATTGATGTGGGTTTGGTGTACACCACGTGAAGAATGGCAATGAAATGTAACTTTCACCTTCACACTCATTGCACACTCTTAGAAGTGCCCTATGAATTCCGGGCGTGAATGCTTCAAGCAAGCACACTTCAATGGTGACTACGAGTGCTTCAAGCAGAGTGCCTGTATGTGGCTGTCAACTTTCTCGTGTTTGATCTGCCCTGTCCAGGCCTGCGGAGACCTGAACAGGTCCGATCTATAGCTGAGCTATGCAAGCAGCCGGTAGGTTGGGGTACTTTCAAAAACAAAGGGGACCGGCTGGCGTCTTCCTTCAGAGCTATCCTTCATAAAACACTTACAATCATTTACAATGCAAGTGCTTTATGGGATTATAGGTGTTTGATGGGTTATGCTTCATATGTCATATGTCATATAAATCATGTTGGGCCTGATAATCTGGAGCACCCTACACACTGAAGTTTAAAATTTCGAAGAATGCAAGCTAGGCGTTTAAATGTGCTAGAAGCAATGTACAGTGAAACCCGTCTAAGACGACCGCTCAAGGGACCTTCGAAATGTGGTCTCTATTACCAGGTGGTCTCCTTATCCAGGGTCAATTGACTGGAAATAGCATCCCTTGGTCGTGGTTTCCTTATCCGAGTGGTCGCCTTGACAGGTCTTACTGTGCATGAAGATATATCCGGCAGAATGTGTGCACATAGTTATACAAAATATGCTCAAGCATGGTAGTATCCCTTCTTCACAGGGCATCACATATGATCAGTACACTGCCAATGCGATGTATGCGTGGGAAGTTACAGTCGACTCCTGATATAACGAACACCACTGTGCAGGAGAATTAGTTCTTTATAGCCGAAGTTCTTTATAACAGAAGTGCACTCACACTGTACAAGCAGCAAGTCATGACTGGCAAGTGGCCCATGACAGTACGAGTGCACTTGGTTTACATGCGGCTCTACAAGATTTGGTTCGTTATAAACTAAAACGGTTCTCTATAAAGGATCAATTTTGTATGGGTTCAAACGGGGACATGGACATGGGTTCGCTATATCACGAAATTCGCTGTAATTATGCGAGTTCGTTATAAGTGGAGTCGACTGTACTAGGAGCTAGTAACTAACAGTAGCTGATTGATATGACCGATTATGTATGTCTCATTCAAGGTACACCAATACACCAATACACAAATACAAGCAGACGTGTAGTAAGTTGTGGTGGTAGTTATGGAGAAGTTCTAGGGACACCAGTACAAACCGAGATGTAGCCACATGTGGCGGTGGTAGTTATGGGGAAGTTGTCTGAACCTCGCAGTGCTCTGCTTCCAGGGTTCTGCAACTCTCCCCTTCTCTCCACACTGAATGTCATCAAGTGACATCTGCCCCCTGAATATGATGTGTTGATGGCTTGATTGTATGTCTGTACTTGCGCTGGTCATTTTCTGTTTACAGCAACTCTATCTTCAGCTTCACCAGTCATTTTCCTGGATGTTAAGTGGATTATTTACAAGAGTTCAGACCGTGCCCATGGTAAGAAATATGGCTGTGCTGTGCTGTGTGTGTGTGTGGGGGGGGGGGGGGGGGTGCTGTCTGTCACATGTGTTTTCTTGGTGTTCCTGACACTTATCCCAGGCGCACATCATCATGATATGCCATCAGAGATGGCAGATTTTTCCTAGAAGACAGACCGGATGCGGAAGCGCCAGTTCTTTTGGCCACAGCCAGCAAAGCAACCTGCAGATCAGCTAAATTGATAATCTAAACCACAAGAAACTCATTAGCAAACAGTTTCCTCTGAGACAAATATGCGATAATACTCATAAAAAGGACACACTTCAGGCTCATTACGAACATCTTGAAAGTTTTTGTTTTCACAAGTATACTTTCAATCAATACTTTCAAGCCTTCTCATCAGGTGAAATACAGGCAACTTTCAAACTTTCAAGATGTTCGTAATGAGCCTGAAGTGTGTCCTTTTTATGAGTATATAAACTCATTAGCATTAGGCGTTCCTGACCCTCATCATGTTTTTCCAGAAGTTCACCTCATTCACCCCACTGTACATGTACATCACAGTATGGGGACATACTACAAGCTGGTGTTGTTAGTGGACATTTATAGCGTAATGTGTAGTTGATTGGTTCATTTTTGAAGTTTTTCTTCCTATAAATCAGTGGCTCTCCATTCGAAGTAATAGTATGTAATTGTTTATAGTCATATTCGCACTGCATTCGACTGAGATGACTTGTAAGGTCGCTCATAATTCTTTCTACTTCAACTATCTAGTTTCCTTCTTGTGTCCCAGTGGCCTTCTTTGTACTCCGTATGAACCGTCTCTGTGTGTGCAGACATGCAAGAAACGTGAGTTAACGAAGCGTGAATCTTTTAACGACAGTCTAGATGAGGACGATGACTCCCATGTTGCAGATTCCGTTGCTACTGCTACTGCTATGGCTCCTACTGAGACCCAGGGCCAGGCACATGATGCACGTGATAATGGTCACCATAAGACGTATACGGCTACTGGTAAGTGAGGTCTGTCACGACAAGGCTTAGACCCTATCTTTGCACAGCCATAACGGTGTTCGATGAATATACTGATAGGTTTCAGAAAACACTAACTATATCATATGACATATTTGAGCAAATGGTAAGGAAATAGTTTTAATGATAGCTTGCATAGACCTCGGTCCTACCGGTAGGACCTACCGGTAGGACCATCATACACAGACATGCTGCATGGCCTCTGTTCTAACATTGACCTAAAACTTGGCCCTAAACTGTTGCTAAGGGGCTAATGAAGGAGTCCACAAATTTTAGACGTGATCGCACAAGGCATACTACGAAATTCCATGGTAACAACCCATGGTAACCATGGAAACTGAGTATGATATTATGCATTCCACGGCCTTGGCAAGCTAATAAAAACATTAGGACCTCACCACAATTGATGTGCCATGGTCAAAATTCACTTTGGACAGAGTTGCTAGCGCGCCGACAGGATTATGTGCGGCCATTTTGACAATCGATAAAATTGCGCATACGCAATGCACTGGACATAGCCTTGCATTTTGCGCCATTACTTTGCCTGACAAAGACCTCATCTCAACAATTGTTTCAAAAAAATTCTCAACCAAAAGCACTTTTGCAGCTTGATTTCTTGGGTCCTACCTGCAAGCTATCATTAAAATCGCGATCAAGCGTTCTTTACCTTCTGTATTGTCACACATGTTGTCACACATGTTGTCACACATGTTGTCACACATGTTGTCACACATGTTGTCATCCGTTTACACTGCTACCGTATTTTAAAGTCCCTTTTGAAGTCCCCTGATGTCAATTTGGCTTGTTATCTTGATCGCGATTTCTAAATGCTTTCTGTATTTTGTTATTGTGCTGATAACCAGCTTTGCACACATGCTGTTGTTTACCTCAAGTAGTGTCACCTAGCCCATTGCCCTGATTTGACCTGTCATGGGTGAATTGTGCGGTCCTCTGGGCTCTGTGACTGTCATCAATGAACATGGTAATTTGGTATGTTCGTACTGTCAACAACTGTTGCCTTCAGATAACGCTGCCAATGAAGGGCCGTGCTTTTCTGCCAATGAAGGGCCGTGCTTTTCTGCCAATGAAGGGCCGTGCTTTTCTGCCAATGAAGGGCCGTGCTTTTCCTCACTGAAGCACATCCACAGGGTACGTTAGAAGAAGCATACATGTATTCATACATGTATTCATACAATCATGTATTCATACATGTATTCATACATGTATGAATACATGTATGAATACATGTATTCATACAATCATGTATTCATACATGTATTCATACAATCATGTATTCATACATGATTGTATGAATACATGTATGAATACATGTACAGTAAACACTGGTTTAAGCGACCACCCCACAGTGCAAGCAAAAGCGGTCGTTAAAGCCGGGTGGTCTTTAGAACCAGGCCCCATACATTCGTGGCATGTCGGATTGTGCACATACTTGTGCATGTTTGTACTTCCATGATTGTACTCATATTGATAGGTGCGGAGCATAGAAAACTTTCGTGCAGGCAAAGCACACCTCACTGGATCGCATGCAGCGCATCCTGCACTGTCACCTTGGTCACTTGTCACTTCTGTTGACTGCATGCATTTGCTTCAGAGCGCACTTCAACCCTGTTGCAGTCAACCCTGTCAGCCAATATGGCACTTTTGATTACTTTAGGCCGCTGTGTGCAGGTCCAAAATGGCACTCGGTACACTAAAAGTCGGTCACTGGGCGCGCAAGGCAGGTGGTCGCTGTGCCCGGTGCGGTTTCTGTGTAGAACTGTCCGTGCATGGAAAAGCAGTCGTTAAAAGTAGGTGGTTGCTAAAACCAGAGGTCGCTTACACCCGGATTTACTGCATTCATTTCAGATATCGAGACTCCTTTGGAAAGCTAGTCCCTGTCATTAGATGGCTTCCTTTGCTTGAGAGGTAGAGCGGTGGCTTTGACCATGTCTTCCAGGGTCAAAGCCATCACTCTATTTCTCATAGTAGGGGTGGGGGCAGACATAGTCATTGATGTGTGACTACTACCCAGAACTTTCATTTTCCATGTACTGTAGTACAACAAATGAAAAAAAGTTTTTTTTTCATTTTTCAATAGTGAAAAAGGAGAAGGACAAAATGGCTCACCATCCGAGTTCAATTTTACGATAGGACTGAAAGGTGGACGGGTTCAATCTGAGCTGAGCATGTGGCCAAGCATTCTCCATAGCCGCGGGTCTGATGAGTTGAATTAGGGGCCTAGCCCCAGTTCGCTGGTAGAGGGAGTGGTTGGGTATTGTTTGCGGGTAGTTGATACCGATACCTGATCTTGATCGCTGGTTCTTTTTCCCCTCTCCGTCATGCTCCATGTATCACATAGAGCAATGTCGGAAGGACGACAAAATTATATATGTGCAACTGTATCCGCTGATGTTCATAGACTACGGATAAAGTGTGGGCAAAATGTAGTACACAGTGCATAGGAGAGACAACAAGCAATGCAATATTCCAGAACCCCCTTTCCAAAACTATGTAAGTGCTAAGCCAAGTGCTGACAATCCATCACCGACGTGTTAATTAAACATTGTGATTCCTACTACATTCATCATGGTCGTCATCAAGTTTGGACGGGGTGCCAGGGACCCTAACTGTGTGCCAGGTACTGCCGGCATCAAGAGTAACGTTAAGTAAGCTCCCATGAATGTGAAAGTCTGCATATGGGGTCTCCGACCACGAAAACTCACATCATCATGGACCCTGTAGAGAGGGTACCCATTGTTCCACACTCTTTGGAGCTATTTGCTCTTGCTGGTACGTACAGTCTACACTCGTTGGAGCTATTTGCTCTTGCTGGTACGTACAGTCTACTATGTCGAATTGGGCTAATTAAAAATAAAAAGCATGCTACACTAGCAACTTGTCTTTTGGATGAAAAAATATGCAGTTGATTCACCTGTGTTCTTTTGTTGTATTTTTAGCGTCTAGGTGCCAGTAACTTTCATCTCGTTGCTAATCATGTGATCCGTGGCAGCCAGATCATTGTCCGTTCTGACTCGCCGTCCACCAATATATCCACGCTGAATATTCTTGGAGTAAGTCCATCACTACACTGTGTGGATACAGATCGTAATATTGTGTATAAAAGCCAGGCTTATGCCTGTAGAAGCCGATGTCAGAGCTAGGCTTCTATTTAAATCAGGCTTGTATTCAAACCAGGTATTTCTATGGTGTATATGTGCATCTTGAATTTATCCCTGTCTACCACGATTATGTCCCATATTGCATGTTAGGACTGCCAAGTTGCAGAATGCTGAGGTTGCCTTCGCAAGCATAATTATCATACACACCATCCTCACTAGTGATCTTGTATTTGTCACTGCAATACTACAGAACCTCTTGCCAACCGGTTGTTGTTCAGCTGTGGCAAATAGCCCCCAGTACTTGGACAGCTACCGCTGCAATCTACTGGGGATGCGATTGGAGTCAGATTTGCCACAGCATTTAAGTGGTTCTGAAGTATTTGTTCTATTGGATATTGTCTCATCAAGCAAGGTAAGCTGTAGCAAGGTTCCGCGGTGTTCATTTTCTTTCATGGTGGTGCAGGCGTGTGTCCTTTAGGCCCAGTGTCATTACTTTGTATTGAGTGCTTTGGGTGGGTATCTGCATGTACGCTTGCCTTTCTGTACAATATCATGTCCTGAACCCATTTCAGTTACTAGTAGTTGCATGACTTGCACATTCACGTGTGTGTGTGTGTGTGTGTGTGTGTGTGTGTGTGTGTGTGTGTGTGTGTGTGTGTGCGTGTGTGTGTGTGTGTGTGTGTGTGTGTGTGCGTGTGCGTGTGTGTGTGGTGTGTGTGTGTGTGTGTGTGTTTGTGTGTGTGTGTGTGTGTGTCTGAGTGTGTGTGTGTGTGTGTGTGTGTGTGTGTGTGTGTGTGTGTGTGTGTGTTGGGGATACATGTGTGCGTGTGTGCAAGTACGCATGCTTTTGCGTGTGTCCCCGCGTATGTACCTGTATACAAGTGGGCTTGTGTGGCGAAGTATACCGGCAGTCTTATAAAATACCATGTCACTTCTTATCTGTAAGCAGCTGGTTAGCTGGATTACCGTATTTCCGCAAATAAAAGGCCGTCTTCGTATACAACGCCTTCCTCGTATACAAGGCCGGGGCAGGGTGCGATTGAAAAAATAAAAGACCGTCTCCGATTAGAAGACCGGGCCTACTAAATGAGTCTTTGTTCTTGTGTTAAAAATAGAAGACCGTGCTCAAACTGTGGGAAAAAAATAGAAGACTGTGCTCAAACTGTGTAGAAGAAAATGGAAGAACGGGGGTAAAATTGTGTGGCGAGAAATAGAAGACCGGGGTCAAACTAGGTTGAGAGAATAAAAGACCGGCCTCGAATACAAGACCGTCCTCGATTATAAGGCCGGGTTAGGACGAGGTTGAAAAAATAGTAGACCGGCCTACTATTTGTGGAAATACGGTACATGTACAGTCTATCTGATTAACACTCAACCATAAATACCTCCCTATTCACGCCATTGCGCTCTTACGCGAACACCAGCCTCATCACGATGACACCAACAGCATGGCGTTTCTCTTCTCAGTTACTGATCAGTTCCCTTCTTGCCGTTCAACAATGTCTTCCCTTTGCTGACACGATCTGAGAGATCGAAGCGGCTGTATGAAGCAACTCGTCCTCCTTGAAAAATGTCTTGCTGTTGGCGTGGTGGTGCTGGTGCTGGTTGGAGAGCGCAATGGCATAGAGAGGGGAGGACCGTCACCTTCTAATGGCTATATTCCTTCATCTAGCAGGCAATATGATATTATTTTAAGCACTGCCGAGCGCACATCAGGACAGGAAAACTGGACCTTCAACCACCACTATCTCTCTTTCTCTCTCACTCGCACACTCACTCACCCTCTCTCTCCATCTCCGTTAATTCTTGGACTGCATGGCACAGATTGATGACAGGATAAAGAAAACAAATCTTGCTGGGTAAGTTTGTGTCATGTTTTTGTGTTACAACATGAGTGATAAACTACACATGTGATAAACTACACATGTGATAAACTACACATGTGATAAACTAAGTGAAGAAATAGAAAACACATGTACTGTCTTACAATCATGTACAGTCAGACCTCACCTGTATCGGTTATCCTATAGTCTTTATCTGCTTCCCTCATTAGTACTATACATACATGTACACCCAGTACACAACAATACCAGCAAGTCATTGTGGTGTCTGATCTCCCAGTTCTCTCTCCTAGCCATAGTCAAGCAAGTTGACCACAATAGTGAATCTCAGTGTTTTATCCCTTGTTGATATTCGGTGTACTTGGTATGATAATTATGGTGTGCCTTCTCTATGACAGATGGAATGGCATTGCATGTACCACTGAAGGTGATCCTTTTCAAGGCTATAATTTCCTCTTGTTCTGTGGTGGAAGTGGTCGTGACAATCCCAGAAGTAAGTCCATGGTGCAATTCATGAGTTGCAACCCCCTCCTCCTTACTCGCTTGTTGCATGCCCAACAATTATACAATACTCTCTTGATGTCCATGGGCCCCACGACCCACGTCACCGTCAGGACATATTCAAAACAGTTCTTCCACTCACATCACAAGTGCCAGCAATTCCGCAATAAACGAATACCGTGTCATCTCTAATATAAGCACAGTCTCCAATAACACGTCTCCAATAATAGAACACCTTGGGGCGGCATTCAAAAAATAAAGTGCTCAGTCTCCATTATAAGCACACTGTGAAGTGCTCACTGTGAAGTGCTCTGAAAACCACCCGGGCCTCCAATAAAGGATACGGTACGGTAGTATATGTACGCACATTGCATGTACATGTACATGTTATCATGGTCAGTCGCGCGATCGCGTGCGGTGCACCAACCTCTGAAATGAGGTTTAGATAATAATGGAACAGTCTCCAATAAAGGAACGTCTCCATTAATAGCACGGGGCGGAGGTACATTGAAAAAATAAAGGACCGTGCTTATATTAGAGATAATACGGTAAATGCTTGCATGCCAACCACACTTTCTCTCCGATTTGCAGTTATGAACGCCTCTTGCCCTGTGTTAGGTAGTAGATACACTACATATGATGTAGGTGACAAGTGAGGGGACATCAATGCAGGGAAGAACATGTCCATTTAAAAGGGAGGTTGCAACTTGGAAGGAAGCAGCAGACAACACCGCAAAGCATTTCTTTTCAGAGTTGTTCTCTTGCCATGGCCCTCCGCACGTTTCTTGACAGTCATGATCCTGTTCTCAGTGTGACAGTTTTCAAAAGTAAAACTGGGTACGTTCTATTTTTAAGCGCTAATACTGGTGCTCCGAGTATGCTGAGTATGCTGAGTATGCTGAGTATGCAGAATACACTGTTGTTTTAGTGTACTGTGTACTTCATATCTTATGTGACATGTCGACCCTCTTTCCTGCTGTGTATCGGTGTTGAGTAGATACAGGCCCATTGCTTTTACAGCGACTCAACGCCATCGTTGCTGATCCGTGCCTCGATGACGGGGCCACATCAGAATGCCTGAGTGCGCTCAAGGAAGAATGGATGAGGTACGAGTACTGTACAGTATTTGCCGGAGAGTAATGCCCCCCCCCCTCCCCCCCCCCCCCCCGCCCAGTTTGGACCACTTTGAGTTACATTTGATACATTCCATGCATGCTGGCTCTAGCTCTACTGTGAAACATGTTACTGTGACGAGTTGCACATTCGACTGATTCGTATCTTCTAGCGAGCCTACCATTTGGGCTCCCTAGAAGATACGTGCAGAGGCGAACCCCGCATGCACAGCACAGGCAAAGGGGGCATATCGGGCATTATTAGCTACAGTATCCTGCATGTCCACCACTTTCTGAGTATTTTTGCATAAGGTGTAACAAAGCGTGATTGCTGCGTTGATGCCTCTTTAGATCACAATTCAGTGCAATCGCACAGGGTAATGTGCTCTGAACATGACAGGATTGTCTATTTCTGTATCTCTGTATCTCTGTCCCTGTGTTCTGTGCAGTAAAGTTCACATTGCGTATCGTTTCTCCCGGAGGGCATCAGAAGATGCAACTGCTAATCGACCGCGGTGAGTTTCACTGCTGAGTTTCTATGACAGTTGTCAGTGTTACCATCGCTGTTTTACTTTCTTTTTCAAAGTATTTATTAAAACTACTTCAGTAACTATGATAAAGTGAATTTGGTTGGGCGCTCCTCAGTACGCAGCAGTAGTTTCATATGGAGCTATACTAGCGATGCTTCTGCTAATGAAATAATATTATTGGTTTCATGGAAGATTGGAAAGGTATGTCGAAGCTTGCTTTAGTCATAGGAAATTGGGTGAAATCAGTAAATTAATTGGAGGAATGTTGCTGTCCATCATGTGAATGCCCCATAAATCCATAAAGCAACGTTACAGAGTTGTTGGCTTCTAATGTACATTATGATGATACGTGTTGGGGGGAAAAGTCTCTTGCATCCAATGTTCCCCATGGGGTTATCCTGAGCAGTATTCACCAGCGATGTAAGTCGAGGGGCGAGTGTGTCCAACAGCTCCCTTGTTCTTTTTGTTGCTGTTAGTCACGTTGGCATTCGCCCATGCCACTCTTGTTTTGTTAGAACGTCTCACATTGATACTATCATGCCGATGAGCTTCCTAGGAAGAAGGTTGATACAAAATTTGAAAATAGCACAGTTCCAATATTCGTATCACCCATGTGGCCGAGATGTGGTCGATTTAAGTGCCGTTCAACACTTGCAACACTCAGAAAACCGATGCCATGAACTTGCCAATGTGTTTTTTTTGCAGGCTGTCAGTTACATTCCTGGGTACAGTAAACCATCCTGTCATGGGCTCAGAAATACACTTGATAGGAGATGACATTGGTGTGTACCTTCAGAGATGGCTGATGAGGCCACTGGGTTTTGGTGAGGGCACCACAGGTGGCATACAGTAGACTATACAGTGAACCATGCCCGGTAGTACTGTAACAGTTGACACAATCATTATGAACCTCCCAAAAAAATCATGGTTCGCGTTAGACTTATTTAGACTGAGTTGCGTCCATAGGAAGTGTATTAGGACCCCCCCCCCTCAAGTGGATCCCCGAAAGAAAAAATTAAAGAAAATCATACTGTCAATAAAACTGTGAACAGTCCCATTCGGCTGTTGAATTAAAATTACTATGACGTAACATAATCGCAAATCACCTCAAAACACTGCAATTTTCCACTCCTCTCACTCAATCTGAAGTGGGGTTTTGAAGCGAAATGCTAACAATAAGTCGAGTTGAATATTATGACTTTGAAGAGAGAAGTGCCAGTGCAGCCTGAGTGAATTGCAGTGAGAGAAGTGCCAGTGCAGCCTGAGTGAATTGCAGTGCTCAGACTTGAGATCAGTAGGTGGTTTACCCATCCACATACTACAGTATTACAGTACATACCGCTTTACTTTTTATTCTTTTAAAATTGCCAACAAGCGGGCCCCTGCTCTGTATTGTCATGGAGCTGAGTAACATCATCACTGATTATCATACCCTCCTGACACTCCTGTCTTCTTCTCCCCTTTGCTCAGTCTTCTACAGGTCCTGCAAGTGGGTCCGGAAGAGTTGCCTGTTCTTCAGTTCTGGTTGCGTGCATTGGACTCCGAGCAGCGTGGTGTCCTCCTGCGCTTATAACCATCGGCTTAGTGGGACTCTGCCAGCTAAGCCCAGGACTTGAAAGATAATGCAAGCTGTAGCACACCGTGAACAGGAGCAAGACATTGACGTTTCACCCCGGCTCGACTTTCCGACACCATCTTCTTGAGAATGATGTTGATGGGAAGTCCAGTCCACTGAGCCGCTTCCGGCTCTGTTGTTGAGTTCAAGTTGCCTCATGATGAAAAGGGCCATGAGAGGAGGTGATTGATTAGTGAACCTGATTTGAATCGGACTGCGAGTGGGAAGGCACGAACATGTGCATATGTTACCATGGTATGCTAGTGAGAGGAGGTGCATTGTCATTGAGATCTGGTCACGCAACCATGCACTGCCAATAACAAGTCAAGTTTAAAAGGGCAACATCGCCATTTGAATTTGATGCAATGCTCCATGGCACTTCAGATGATCCAGAAGTTGCACTTCCTATTTTATATTGATTAATATTGCGCCGCAGTCAATTGTCTTATAGCAAATCATTTTATGTCTCACGCTTTAGGGATTTGCACAATATTTTGTTCATTTCAAGCCACAGGAGCATTCTTTTCTGGGGGCCTGGGAGGGGGGGGGGGGGATTTTTTTACCATCAGTCCGATTGTTAATTAATATAAACATGTTGTTGATCTCTTTACACAGGATCAGGAACAACTTGAGTGAATTTTTAAAACTGCTAACTTCTTTCAAAGTTGTAGGTATCATGTGATTTCTAGTAAAACTGGGCAATACTGTACTGATTCTGCAGATCTGGACAAACTCACCTTATACCGTGAATCATGTGTACCGGTGACACAAACTGTAGCCTGCAGCAGGGAGTCGTAAAATACCGGTATTTTACGACTCCCTGGCCTACAGGTACGTACAGACCTCAGGCTCAGAATGCTCGGGAGTGTGATTTTAATGGATCGCTAGAAATCTCTTCACATCCAATCCTCACACTGAATTATTTGTTTGCCGTTTGTGTTGATAATAATAATCAAGACCCCATAAACAAAACTGTTTTTGCACTCTTGTAATAATGTAGTACGTAGATCTACTACGTCCAATTGCTAGCGCTAATGTCCGCTTCCCTGATTCTGTTGATTCATAGATCATGCCGGTATTTGCAGATGACTTTTCTAACATCCAAAATCAGAAAATCCGCGATATTCATGTTAAAACAAAATGGCGTCACGATTTATTGAAAGTGGTATAGTTGGTGGTACGAGTGTTCAAACCCATTTGAACTTCATACTGTTCGTCTTCTTTTTGACATGCTCTCTTTCCATCGTCCTTAGCTTTTGTTTGTTGAGAGCTGTTTTGGCTTTCTCCTATACCTCTGGGGGATGCCAAGCGATGGTTTTGAGAGACTGGTGATGGCTGTGAGCGAGAGTTTGCCGATCGGCGTCGTCCTCGCTATAGCGATGAAAATACTAGTTACTGCGCACCTGGCAGATATCACAACACGTCGGAGCGTCCAGGAGCAAAGGAATCTTGGGTTTTCACTGGAATCTAGTTCCTCCAGCATCGTGTAGCCCACCGTCGGTGAATGGCGGTCCAGAAAGGTCGAAACTGGTCTTCTGCAGCATCTCGCAGTCCTGCGAGGCACACTGAATACGCCTGTCATGTATTCTACAAATAAAAATCACGAAGTAGTGGACTTTACAGTGATGAGTCTATCCTGTATGCTGCAAAAGACGCAGGAAATGTCACTGGTGTCTGTACACTCAGTGACTGGACGCCAACACCCCAGTCTTCTCCTGCAGGATCTGTTTGACATTGACATTATGCAGTAGGTCGGCATTGACCTGGTTTGGCAGCTATCGTAATAGTATCTGCCTGGTTGGATGTAGCAGGTTGGTGTTTGCTCGTCGTCCAGTGCGGAATTTTCTTGTAACTCACGGTGGAGTACGCGCAGGGCTTGTGATCATCCCTGTTCACTTCAATATTATCAAACACAACGTTCCCTTTGTCACTCATCTTATCCTCAGTACTGAATTTGCTGACAATATTGCACCACACTTGTCACAACCTACCGCCACTGCTGGCGGCGGCGACTGGTTCGTCAATGGCGGTGACCAGGCTGACTGACTAGCTTCGAGACAGCGGCCTCGTTGTCAACCCCGCGGCAGCCTAAAGGTTGATTTTATCGATCCAGCCTCAGCGCCATGTTGACGATGCCCTAGTGACTGTGTGTCATGGATTGCCTTGCCATCAGCGGTCATTGCCGTCCACCTTGATGCAGCCCTCAACAACTGGCTCAGCCCATGGGAGTCTCAAGTGGACAAAGTTGTTGCCAAAGTAGCTCAGAAGATTGGTGCATCGTGGTGTGAGTGAGCACATAACTAGGACTTCCCAGCGCCTATTTGTCCAGGCTGCGATACTATGTGACATGCTGTACTGCACCGCATTCTTTTCAGCACTGCAAGGCCGGCAGCTGGACCGACTGCAGGCCGCCTGTTGCCAGTGCAGCATTCTGGAACGTTCCTTCCTTCTGAGATCCGTGGAATAATAACTTTCTTTGCTTCAAAGCAAGTTGCTTACCTTTCTGTTGTGCTCCCAGTGTCCTTACAACAATAACCTACAGCAATGTTTTATTTTCCTTTCCATTCCCCAACCAATGAATACTACGATGTCGATTCCATTTCTTCATACTTTGGTGTGTGCCCGCGCACGCACGTGTGTGTGTGTATACCTCACTCGCCACTCGAAGTTCTGTTCCCCATCACTGGAACACTGCCTGTTCTTTCAGGACCTGCCATCATCTGCGGATGGGCATTCAATGATTGTATTGTGTGTGTGTTTCATTCAGAATCAGATCCGCTATCGTTGCTATTAGAGAAAATCTGTGGGTTCACATCCAGTGCATATTTAGATTTGCGTGCTTTTCTCGCCACGGGCGCATACAAGGGACATTGTGTGTGTGTGTGTGCGTGTGCGTCTGTGTGTATGGGGATATTGTCTGTATCGGCTTTTGGTACTAATGTTCAGGTCTGTGCTTGCATGTGTGAACATGAAATTGTTCGGTTCTGTGCATGCTATTGCTATGTTGTATATTATTGTATGTATGTGTGCATTTCCACGAACAGTGTAGACGAGCGTGGAGATTGCATTCATCCCTCATCAACCACTTCCCCTTGGGCTCACGAGAGTTTTTTCTGCGTACCTCTCATTTTTGTTTGTTTCTTTCTGATACTGTATTGATGCCGGTACCTGTACCTCGATGTGTTCCTCTATCTGCAGTCGCCTTTAATCTTCAGTCAAGTTAACGTTTATTGTGCTCTATTTATCGTGCGAATCAAAATAAACAATAATAACACAAGTCGTGCTAGAGTGACGACATGTGCGTGTAGTCACTCTAGCACGACTTGTGTTAGTGGTTGATGCGATGGGACGTTATAATTAGGTGGAACAGAACACACATTGGGCAGATTGATTGGGCATCATTGATTGTGCTCAGTCTAAACAGTGAACATAATAATTATCTCCAGTGACAGACTGTAGCGGCTAGCCTCCAATAGGTAGCTGGCACTAGTCGCTACTGCTTGTTTGACAGGTGCTGCCAGAACCCCTGTTGTGTCATGCTATAGATGCACATGCCCTGTTCTGGGGCATACTGAGGTACTTTGATTTTGTTGACTGCATGTAGACAGGCGGGATCCAATAGTAGTTCTCGTAGACCTTGGCTCTTTGTAGGTCAACCACCATCGCATGGATCGATCGGTGACTATGCACTTGGAGGTTGGAATAGCCCGCGCTGAACAGATCTTGCCATGGCCCAGGGAGTGAACTCGCTTACTCGACTATCCCGGTTTTAGTTAACCAGCATGAGTGGTGCAATTTGTTCATACCATGTTGCGAGCTCACAGTTGTTTGGGCAGGTTTTGAGCTGCAACACGAAACAAAGCGAAATAACGGCGTGACTGTAGAGCAAGGAAGCGGCGAGACGGCACTTCCAGGACAAGACAGGCAGTAGAGATGTGTTCACAGCACGAGCAACCTCTCAAACTCTGCCGGTACTCCACAGTTACAAGAAAATGTCAGACTGGACGCCGCGCCAATGCAAACCTGCTACATCCACCCAGGCAGATAGCTGCCAAACCAGGCCAATGTCGACCCACTGCATACCGGTATGTCAATGTCAAACAGATCCTGCAGGAGAAGACTGGGATGATATTGGCGTCCAGTGTACGGACACCAGTGACATTTCCTGCGTCTTTTGCAGCATACAGGATAGACTCATCACTGTAAAGTCCACTACTTCGTGATTTTTATTTGTAGAATACATGACAGGCGTATTCAGTGTGCCTCGCAGGACTGCGAGATGCTGCAGAAGACCAGTTTCGACCTTTCTGGACCGCCATTCACCGACGGTGGGCTACACGATGCTGGAGGAACTAGATTCCAGTGAAAACCCAAGATTCCTTTGCTCCTGGACGCTCCGACGTGTTGTGATATCTGCCAGGTGCGCAGTAACTAGTATTTTCATCGCTATAGCGAGGACGACGCCGATCGGCAAACTCTCGCTCACAGCCATCACCAGCCTCTCAAAACCATCACTTGGCATCCCCCAGAGGTATAGGAGAAAGCCAAAACAGCTCTCAACAAACAAAAGCTAAGGACGATGGAAAGAGAGCATGTCAAAAAGAAGACGAACAGTATGAAGTTCAAATGGGTTTGAACACTCGTTCCACCAACTATACCACTTTCAATAAATCGTGACGCCATTTTGTTTTAACACGCATACGGTCCATTGTTATTATTTATATTTTGCCAGAATCATTTTTTTGTAGCTCGAGGTTCAAATCGCGCGCGCGCGCGGTTAGATCGCTGCACGTGCCACGCATGGTTCGAGCATGCATTGCACATGTGTGTACATAATCCACTAAAATAATTGCATTGATGGTGTATGATTTGGAAAGGCAGGATTCAGAATCAGTATCTACGAACACTCGGTTGTCACTGATGATGGTGATACAGTCCTGCAGTCTTTGAGTTTGAGGGTCTATCCTGCTGTGTGAACACTCTTTGTCAAGCTGATCGATCGCATCATTGCTATTTCGTCAGAAACTACTGTACCAGTATTCTCTACTGAGTTTTGAGAATACGCAGACCGTACTCTAGAGTAGTAGTTATTACAAACGGCGAATACTATCATTTTCAGGTTAGTCTTATGTTTGCAAATGTTGCAGATTTGAGAGGGATACATATGGAGGAAGATATCAGCCGGACGATTGGCGTTCATAAAGCCATACTACCGGTATACTGGCTATAACGGAAATGGTTGCCAACTTAGAAGGTGCCAGTGTTACCAAATACGTTCCAGTTCTTTGCGTACTGAGAAGTTTTTTTTATCAGTCGACGCTTGAGCCTCTTGTACGGGCAAAATAACACATTTGTGAAGCATCAACACAATTACATAAAACGAATGATATAGTAACTAATGATTATACAGACTCAGGAGGATCACTGCAGGTTCACTGGATGCGTGCCTCAGCCACCACTAGCACTGCAGGGGACTCGGGTACGGCAGGAGCAAACATGCTCCTTGAGCCACGCAGGCACATGGCGCCACAACGAACCAGGGCAAACCGAAGGCGGCAGTGCAGCAAGGAGACAACCCGTGCGTATGGCTCATTGCGCTTCTCAGCCAGGAGAGACGCGATCCGTGAGAAAAGCGCATTGGCATGCTTTCCATAGCCACCAGAGGCAGAAAGCACAACCGGCACGAAGGAGGTATGTTCGACTTCGCGTACTTCATACGTCCGACAATTTTCTTGTCCATGGCGCCTGTAGCTAGCAGCGAGGGAGGCGGCACGATTCGAAGACGCAAAAGGGTTGAACACCCGTACATCGATAAAGATGCGCTTGAATCGGCCACCCCACACACCACTAGCCGCAACGTCCAGCCGAGCCTGCTGATGGCTGTGCGATGGCGGAAGGCCTCTCCGGTGACGGGCTGGAGGTGGGGTTCCACCGTCACGTTATGAGCGACCTGCCTCAGGGCTCTGGCGGTGATGTCCCTCACCTCGTTATGGCGCAGCGTCGGGAAGCCACCAAACGGGCACATTCAGCGGCTTGCTGCACACGCAGAGACTTGGGAGCCGAGGAGGTGTCCAGCCGTACCGGAGGCACAGGCCATCCCGGAAGTCTCCCTTGGTGAGGGTGAAACCATGGCGGCCGAGGGGGAGGCAGGTCAGCCAGCTGGATGCACCCTTTTCCGAGGCCAGATCGAGAACAGGGGCCAGCTCTCGGTGATCCGAGCGAAGTGTGTCAGACATGGACTTGGCTGCGCTCTGCATCTCGTCACGAACCGTCGCCTTGACCGTCCGGAGATGAGTCAGAGAGTCGCCGAGAGATAACTCCCGCTCCAGCAGGCGAGACACGAGGCTAGCCATGATCCTTCTGGACGAGGCGTACTGCTCAGCCATTGAACAGGGGTTTGCCATACCCAGTCCCCCATGCTGGCATGGCAGAGAGAGTAGGCAGCGAACAGTTGTCCCAGGTGGAGCTTGACCTGTGATGGCCGGGATGAGCCGATCGCTGATGGCGTGTTCCAGCGGTTCAAGAAGGGACAGCAGGATGGAAGAGGTATGGCAGAGGAAGGACCACTTATTTTGTAGGCCCTGCGTGAATGCAGAGTAGGTGGCTTGTGGTTGCGATGCAGCGATAGTCGTGAGCTGTGCAACTTCCTCGCACCAAGTGGCGACCTTGGATTGGACGAATTGTTCCACAAACTCATCTGTGCCCAAAGGTGCACCGAGGTGGCGGCACCCATCACATGTGACCTTTACACCGGTCCCTTCGAAGGTCTTGACAGCAGCTGCGTACTTGGAGGCCTTGACGTACTGACAAGTGCCATGTTGCGGAATTTTTTTCATGGATTTATTTGCGTATTAGATTTGGTGGGCTTAACACTCAAGCAGGGAGTTGTAAAATACCACTCCCTGCCCTCAAGTATTCAGCTGCAACTGAAATTGAATTTCTTAGTCAACTGAGTTTATAGTTTGTCCTGGAATACTCTGGAACATATGACATGCACCTGTGCATAGCTGACACACAATGATATGGGCTTACGGGAATTTTACCAGGCATAAGTCGATCCCCAGTGCTCGGGGCCTCGGTTTACCGGTTTAATATCAATATGATCACGGGAAAAATACAGTACAGTAGCACCGTGAGCAAGGCGTTTAGCATGCTCCCAATGTGGAGTATATTGCTGTTTGCTCTTCTTCGTTGTGCTTATTTCACCCACGAATTGCCATGTTATCCAAGTATGATGCTGTAGCATTGTTTAGGTCGCTTTTCTCTATGTGATTATGTAATCCATAATTTTTTTTATTATAAAAGCAGTGATTTTTGGAGACAATAGTTCGTCTGCCTACGTCGTGGAACTAATGCAGATAGTAGACACCCTTAGCAAAAAAACTTTACTTTGTAACGGTATTACTGCACGGGAAAAAATACCGAGATTTGGGTTCGACCTTTAGCAAGATGCACACTATTTTTAGTACGCTGTTGCCACGAGAGTAGCTTTTATTTCGCGCGGTACAACCATTTATGGCTCCATATGCGCGATACACGGTGAAATAAGTATGTAGCACTACGCACTACGCAATATATGGCCAAAAAAACGTCCCGTTTGTCACAACGATAAATCAGCGCCCATACCGGTTTTACGCTGCAGCTTCAACGCGATATGGGTGATCAAGGTACGAGTACCGTAAAAAAATAGCGTTGCCGTTGTCTGCTAAGGGTTCTTATTGCCCAGCCCAGACAAGACAGCCACCAGTATATGCTGCGACAAATATGTCGATGATGGTGGCTCCGCCGGAGGCAGCTGCAGGCATGCCTGTAGAAACATCAAGTGAGCATGTCACTGCTTCTGCCCTTCTGGTGAGATGGCCCAAAAGCAATTACGGTGTAGGCAAACTTACAAAAGCCTATACACAAAGTTCAAGTGCTGGGACTCCCATTGATAATACGAAGTAATACATTGAATTCTAATTGCTACATTACTTCTGTCAAGTGAAGGATGATAGATGCTACACTCGGTTGTGGAACGTAGTAGGGGTGAGGTATCCTGCAGCTTCATACCGGTAACTCAAAGAGAAGCGGTGAACACACATGCTCTTTCCCTGGGCACTGCAAAAAATTCACAACTCAGTTCACTGTATTCGACGTTTCGGCAAATTGCCATCATCAGGGATTCAGGATGCAATATGAAGTGGAAGTCTGCCAGGGAGCAGTTATGTACAGTTGTTTGGTGTTAGTTAGTAAGGCGTTGATAATATTTCTATGACCACGCATGTTACGGCTGTGCAAGAAATATGTCACGGGTTTTCACTCAATGTGTTGGGGTACTGGCAATAAGTTAGCGCACACAGCGCAGTGCGGATGTCACCAGATAACTTGAGAATTGTTTGAACAGGTTTCTCGCTAGTACTAGTAGTACTATAAGAAAATTACCACGTCAGTGTTTTCCCAGAAAACAAGTTCACGTAGAAAATAGATTTAGTGTGAATTTTAGAGTGATAACCACCCAGCGCTGGTGTTAATCTCTGGGCGCTCATTTCTAATCTCCACTGCCTCCTGCAATTTGCCTCTTGCCCTACTGTTAAAGCCATTATTCAAACGAGGTGCATACTGTAGTGTCGCGTATAAAAGCATGACTCGAATATAAGCATGCCCCGTATAGAAGCATGACTCGAATAGAAGCCGATTTTTCGAAGGGTGCCATGTCACAGAATCACGATTTGAATAGAAGCATGCATGTATCATGTACTTGCACACTACATACGTGACAATGTGCACTGCACAGTGTAGACTGATGATCTTGACATAGACGCATGTTTCGAATAGAAGCATACCTTGAATAGAAGCATGGTTTGAACCCCGGCTTATTCGGCCGTAAGCACCTGCTTTTATACGCGACATGGTATATAACGATTTCCCCAGATTGACTGGTTTACGTGTACCAAAGCTAACGATTCTCACGTATTCTCAACGCACAATAGAACAGTATATGTATCGATTTCTCCTCGTAAACTCGTTAGAATTAGCACTTTGTTATAAATATGGCTTTTACAGTATCACTGGCTCTTGCAATTACAGACACTGCTGGGAAGACTCAGTTGTGGGTTAAGTAATATTGTATTTGTCCTCTGATCTCCACAGTCATGGACAAGGACCACCAGAGATCCGACGAGGAAGTTGAAGATCAAAAAGAAGTCAAGGTACTAAATGGAGAATGCAGCTTTCCATCATGCACATGTACATGCAGTATGATCCTGGCTAGGCAGCACATGCATGCATGCATTTGCAGCATGCATTTGGCTCATCATAACTTATTATTGAAAGGGAAGTTCAATTCCTCTCTACACCATGCAAGGCAACCTCGAATCACCCAGCAATATAATATATGTATAGAAATGGTCCTTTCGCTGTTGATCAGCACGTTCTAATTGCTCCTACCGCTAGCAGAACTTGTATTCAAAGGTTGCTGAGCAAGATCACATTGATAACTTGATCATTACCTGGCTGTGCAGAGCTTCACTGGTTCTAGCGTAGCGTTAGAGTTTCTATTTTCTAATATTGCTATCGACGAGAATGGCTCCTTTTGTGCACCGCTTGTTGTGCCCGTCTCAGCATCAGACTCCCCAAAGTGGCAAGTGGAGGCAGCCCCTTGAAACAAGTCATTCTGGGATACTCACTTCAGCATCATCATTAGTACATGTAGTTCCTGTCAGCATTGTGTCAAGCTAGAAACTACTTATGTCACCAAAAGAGGGATCGCTACCCTGCTAGTTATTCCTGATGGCAACATTTCAGTGCCTTCTCATTGTCAGCTTCAACTCGGGTTTTCTCGTATCAATTCCTCTTAGGGGTCGTCGCAAAAGTTTTCTGTCGTCCCTGAAACGAACATCGTTCATTTCGTACTCGGACCCCCTCCCCTCCCTCTGAAACGAACACAGCTTGCTATGCTGGACGACGAAAATCGCATGCATGTACATGTCATATGTACAGTGTCGGTCGACTTGTGATTTTGGCTCGCACCCCCTCCCCCCCAAATGAATCATGTTCGTTTCAGGGACGACAAAAAACTTTTGCGACGACCCCTTATGGACCTCTTCAAGGGAGACAAGGACAATATTACAATGGGCGATGTTTGGACTGGGCTTCCCGTTAAAAACTTAAAATTGATAAAATAAAGCCGAAAGTTGGAATTTGCCAAGCTGGAGTCGAAGAATCCAACGGTCTGGGTGTGGCTGGACAACTATCTTACTACATCACATGGGGGGGGGGGGGATATCATTTCAAGAACAGAGCAAGCTACCTATCAAGGAAATAGCTTGAAGCCATCCAGATCCGGCAGCGTAAACCAGCAGTCAATCTGCGATGACAGGTAGAGTAGAACCCGGGTTAGGGATCCACCTAACTCTGCGCGGACATAGCTGGACTCAGTTGTACAGGGATGGACAAAATAAATAAATTTCACGGTTCGCGTGAGACTCGGCTGGAAGCCGAGTTTTCCGCATCCGCCGTGGGAACGCCACCACCCTCTAGGATCAAAGGATGGACAAAAAGGTGTGCAAAACGACTTTTTGTGAGTAGATGGACCCCGGAAAAATAGTTTGGAGCGAAAAAAGTTACGGCTTCCTCGGAAACCGACGGGGGACCTCCCCCTTGGGCCGGAAATTAAATCCCGGTATAAGGATCACCCGCACAATGTACATGCCAAGTGCCCCCCCCCCCCCCCCCCCGGGCTCCGAAGGATCACCCGCACAATATACGTGCCAAGTGCCTCCCCGGGCTCCGATCCCTAATCCGGTGTGACCCTTAACCCGGGTTCTACTCTAGTGCCTAGCTGATTACTTGATTATTAGATTTACTGGATTGTCACCGCGTTTCGGCACCTACTACCTCCTGAAATTACCTTTGCAATTATTGCACTTGCCGCACACCTTCAGTCCCTTGGCTTGGGCACTGTCCCACTGTGACACATAACACTGTTCTTGAACAAACTGTGATAGTCGTCTCCTTTGTTTACCTTACGGGTGAACGCTGCACTTGATTGTTTGCAGTTTCCTAGAGCTCCTTTCAGAAGACTGTGATAGGTTTGTTGCCACTTGCATGCATGTGAGGTGTGAATTCTAGAACAGTCCTTTGGTTGTGCTACTTGTATTTGAGCCGTCAGATGCAAAAAGGTACCTTATGACGTTTTGCTCGCAGTTGAGAAAATCGCGTTCGAAAAAGTATTTTCTGTGAATATGTGATCGATAGTCCGGATAGTTTCCAGGGTAACTCGGTGATGAATTGAGATTTTTGGACCTGGTTTTTTGCACGACACTCTCCTGACCAGGTTGTATCTGAAACAATCGTTAACCTCGATTTGGCCAAAAATGTCATAAGGTACCTTTTTGCATCTGACGGCTCATTTAAATATGTTTGCCATCCCTTCCTAATCGATGCCCAGTTGATGTTTAATTGAGCAAAAGGTTGGATTTATTCTGTTCTGATGAGATCTTGGTGATATTGCCCAACTCCGTTGCTGCTGCCCTGTTTCTTTCGTTCTTGGTTAAATTAACATTTATGTTCAGGGAAGTGAAGCTGAAGAAGATCAAGAGGTTGATGGAGTAGTGGAGCCACAAGAAGAGGAAGAAGAAGAAGAAGAAGAAGAGGAGGAGGAAATGATTTCTGATATAATGGATGAAAAGGCGACTGGGCAAGCCAGTGCTGGTGAGGTGATCACTAATAGCAGCAGTGGCAGTGATGCTCTAGCTATGTCATGTTCAACTTTGTGTACTGCTTTTAAACACGTTTGGTAGTTCACAAGTCCAGCAATCTCTCTATTTGCAGTAAAACAATCTTCCCGTACAGGATGTATTCATGAGTTTGTATTCGTAGAAGCGGCCTAGGTTACCACTCTGAATCCTCAGTTCTTCGCCACCAGACAGCACTGTAGGTATAAACTATAACATCATGATGGCTGGTAAATTGAGCAGCTTTCTGGCTTTGTGTTTATGCAGGTTTGCTAGATCGGCCATTGATAGTGGAAGGCAAACGGAAAAAGCACTCAGTCGACCGTCTCAATGCTGAACTTCGAAGTCCAACAAAGTCGATAGAAATTGAATTGGTGAGTCGAGGCTTTTAAAATGCCGTGTTTGTTTGCTTGTTTGTTTGTGCCATCGGCATGCCTGGCGCTATCCCATACCTGTCCCGTACCGTATCATCAAGGTGTGTGTTTGTTTGTTTGTGCCGTCGGCATGCATGGCGCTATTCCGTACCTGTCCTGTACCGTACCATCAAGGTGTGTGTTTGTTTGTGCCGTCGGCATGCCTGGCGCTATCCCGTACCTGTCCCGTACAGTACCATCAAAGCGCTGCGCCCCCCCCCCCCTCCCCCTCCCCCCTTTGGCTAGAACCCTGATCCCTATGCTTTTGTGCCTAGGTCATCAGTGGCGGATCTAGGGGAGGGCGCGGTGGGCGCGCGCCCTCCCCTCAAACAGTTCGATTTTTTTAGTGCATGCACATGGGCAGTTGCGCAAGTGTTTGCACATGCTGTGACAAGTAGTTTCTAGTGTCAGATAAGAAAGTTCTTCTGAACACGGAGTAGTTGTTCTCTTAGACTTTGGTTGACTTTTATTTTTGAAATTAGTGTTCAGTTGACGAACTTGTATAGCTAAGTCGGTGAAGGGGATGGCGCACCGCCCGCCCAAGCGGCTATGGAGCCAACAAACTCTCCACGGATTTTTCGCGAAGCGAACTTGCGCTTCGTCAGCTGCTCAGTCGAGCGATCCGTCTTTGGATGAGAATTCGGACCACCGCGAAGATCCTGAGATCGAGGTCTGTTCAGACTCTGATCTTCCCCAAATGGATGGTGGGACCGTCAGTAGTAGTGATGCGAGTCAGGAGCGTTTACCTGTTGAAACTATCGCAGATCATCGACGTTGTGACTGTCACGAATGTGGCTGGTGGCACTGCTACGCAGCGAAGTTACTCGGATGCTGTTGATGCAGCTATTGGCGGTGCAACTCTCAGCGATGCAGAAAAGCGCTAAATACTTGGGAACCGGAAGCCTGATAAACAGACGGTGTTGCCATCTAGGGATTATCCCGACAGCCGCCGAAAGACCGGTACTTCCACTCGCTCGCTGCTACTGAAGTGGTTTGAGTGGCTTGCCTATTCCGGAAAGGCTGGCGAGGAAGGCGTTTTTTGTGCGCCGTGCGTCCCGTTTCCTACATTGCATCGACAAGGATCAACCCGAGGTGAATACCTCATCATCCATTCTTACTGCTGGACATGGCCATCCAAATAATCGTATATTTTATTATTTTGCCATTGTTCTCGATCTCAGCATGTCTTGAGCTTTGAAGCACTATCTTTACACAATTCAATGTAGTACGGCTATGTTCTACTACAGCCAGAGTCCTCAATGAAGTGGTTGAAAAAGTGGGAGTGAGTGCATGTGCTAAAATAGTAATTCTACATAACCGCTAAGCCTATGACGTAAAATAGCCGCTATGTCGTAATGTGTACAAAATACAGGTACCGCATAGGTTCCCTGTCATGAATATTACCCCGCGCCCTCCCCTCAGCTGAACTCTGGATCCGCCGCTGGTCATCAAGGTGGTAGACGGTGTTGTATTACCCTCAAATGCAAAGATAAAGTTTATTTATTTCGCTCAGGGCCCTACGCTATGCTTTTTTTTTTGCCTAGCTCATCACGAATGTTGTTCGAATAGATGGAAACTTTTTGCAATACAATGATATAGCCGATCAGTTCGTTGTGGTATGGTTGGGAATAGTCCTTATTCACAATTACGTCATCGGCTCACGCCGGGGGTATACTTGAGATTTCGTGGCATGGTGAGACAGACTTCACCTTTTCCGAAAAATTTCGTCTTGGACATCATCGTTGTCCGTTCCTTGCTTCGTTGCCACAGACAGTTGTTTTGATTTCGAGAGTTAGCCTTCACGTCGAGTTCCAGGTAGTGCCTGTCGTGGAGCATCACCGACTGGTCCGTCAGCTATGAGTGCCAAGAAAGTTTCGTCTTTAGCCGACTTGAGAGTGCCTGAGCTGAAGAGGCTACTCCGTGAACATGGCTTACCCGTTTCCGGAAAGAAGGACGAACTGATTGGGAGGTAAGCTTTCTTCGTTTCACTTCTTACTCAGTAGTGTGTTGCCGAAAATTACTAAACTCTCCCAGGCGTCTGTTTTTTCGTTATTGGCCCGCGTGCAAAGAATGGAGCTGAACTAAAAAGATTTTTCAAAAACCAGTAGACTTGGACTAAGTTAGGTGTGGGCATGGACGAAGCCATCGCCATTGACCAGGTGCATGGCAGCATTGTGACTCTGCTGAGAGTTGCTATAATGGGATCTGCTTTCAACTCAGTGTGCAACAGTATCCATAGTCATTTTACCTGTATTATGTTCTTGTCATTTTACTTTTGTTTTGTGACACGGTACCCATGAAACCTGACAATATTCCTTGCTGAGCCTAAAAATTCCAAATCTTCCTGTGGCTTGTGTTCTTGTGTCAACTGCAGATTATAGACATTTGCGAAAACTTCAGGCCGTGCTGAAAGTAGCTTTCTATCGCCACCGGTACAAGGCAACGTCAGTAATCCCCCAGCACAGTCACAACCACCGCATATACCACCATCCACAGAGTCGATAGAAGTGACCCGTACGAAAAGCAAGTTTCCAGTCGACCCAAAGTTGTGGAAGCCCTTGGTTGACATTCGGACTGCCTTGCCGATGTTCACCATGGCCAAGGTGGTGGCTTATTTCATTTATAGTCAGTCCACTGATGGGAGCCGAATGAACTTCAAGGCTGTAAATGAGCATGCCCTGCTTCTATTCAGCAATGGATTGGCGCAGGCCATAAAAGGTGCAGTGGATCCCAAAGAGCAAGGAACACTGTATCTCCGCTGCATTGTGCTGGCAGAAATGAAACAACAAAAAAACCTATACCCTATACAAGCTGGACAGACATGCAGAGGTCCTGTACGCAGAGTGTGGCTGTCCTGCTGGCCGCCCTCCTCACGCTTCCTGCAAACACCTTGCGGCGTTTGCGTATGCTCTTGAGGAGTTTGTGCGGCTGAGGTACCACCGGTCAGCATTGACTTGCACGGAAGAGGCCAGCAAATGGAATGTGCCACGGAGCAAGAAGGTTGAAGTGTGCCTGCTAAGGCCAAGTAAAAAAAAAAGCTAGATGATCGTCCCCGTCCGCCCCAGTTTTTGTCAGCGCCCCAAGAAATATTTTATTTTTTAAATCGTGAGTTTTTGCCGAAATCGTTGGTTTTTTACCGATCGCGGATGCAGGAAACATGTGCACGCTTTGTTTAATACTTTCTTTACTATATGGACCACATACTACTAGTATATCACAACGTCAGTATCGATCTGCTGAAGAAAGAAAAAGAAAAAAAGAAAAAAAAAGAAAAAAAGAAAAAAAAAACCTTGATGTTGTTGTGTACACTGTGTGCATGAGAGGGTAAAAAGTAAAAAAATAAAAATAAAATCCTCCCGCCCTCCCCGATTTTTCCAAAAAAAAGGACGATCATCTAGTAATTTTTTTTACTCGGCCTAAAGGATCTGGTGTTTAAAAAGGCTGCGTACAGCAAGAGCAGCGCAACGCCGGTAGCTGTTGCGCGGAAGGAACTGGAAAAGCCACTTGCCCCACCTCGGCTGCCAGCAACTGACTTTCGCCAAGAACGTAAACGAACTTAGTACCCGCGGTGTGGCAATGGCTTTCACCCACATTCTGCCGTCCGAGTCAACGCTGGTTGCAAGGGTGGAACGCATTGCACGGGCGAAAGAGCAGCGGAAGGCGTGTCGTGAGTTGCGGGCTGAAGGCACAGATAAGGCTTCTAAGGGTGCATCCTGTGAACCTAGTCTCAGTGGTGAAACTAGTCTCAGTGGTGAACATAGTCCAAGTGGTGAACCTGACACGCAACTTGCCCGAGAGGAAGTGAATCCGCAGTCGCCCATGGATGTGACTGGGAATGCTAGTGACAACAGACAAGTGCAGAGTACCCCCTGCTATTTTGCCTTGGGGTGGCTCTCACCGGACAGAAGATGGCAAACAATTCTATTTTAGCCGGCTAATCGTTTCACCCTTAGATTATACTATGCACCAACCCTTCCATGGATGGTATTATTGGGAGCACGGCTCCAGAGCAGAACATCTTTAGTCACAGAAAAGTGAAGGCCCATTCCAAGTCCGATGTAACGAACAAACACCAAAATATCCTACAATGTACTGGATTAGATGCCTAAAGGAGTAAGGTGCGCTGTCCTGAAGGCAATAATACAGGCTACATAAGGAGGCGCACAGATCACAAGTAATGCAATGTCGACAGTATCCAAGTTCAATCGCAGCAGAGGGGGGGGGGGGGGGGGGGTCTTAGGCTGTTGCTGAGCACCATTCTGTCCCACACACTACAATAGCTGTCACTACCATAGTTACTGTCACTTGAGGTGCACGAAAGTAACTAGTTGGTCGCGAGCAACCGCGTTATGCAAAGGTTATGTGGAATAGCTGTATGTACATGGAAATATGTACATTACGCGATTATGTGCGCGACGGTCCCGGAGGGAGAGACCATTGCAGAATAACTTACATCAATGGCGGATTAAATAGAGTGAGAAGGGCACAGCATGAAAAGATTTCATCTCCAATATCAGCCATACTGATGGGCAGGAAGCGAAGGATGGAATAATTCTTGATCTGCTGAATGGCTCGCTCCACATGAATCCTAAGTGATGCAATGCGTCGTGTTGTAAGTAGATCTTCTTCGGAGAACTGTTGATGGTGGAGAAAGGGTGGGATATTGACACCAACACCATACACAAGTGCGTCGGATGCAATATCAAACCCTTTGTCGGCCGTAATCACATCGCCTTTGTCCAGCAGCTTCAGTAGTTCGCATCTCCTCACCAACTCCTTGTCAGATGTTCGTCCGCCATACAGCTGCGACACAAACGACAGAGCACCACCAGGTGTTATTCCTACAAGCGCTTTAACAGTGTTACGTTGCTTGTATTCCGACCATGTGGCAGCTTGAGTAGTGGGGTTCTTTGGCTTTTCTATCGGAATCTCCAACGCATCGATGATAATCCGTGTCCGTGGATACATTTCACGGAACGACAGTGACATTAGCTCATCCACTTGGGATCTGCTCGGCAAGATCGGGATTTGACGAAGTGCATTGGCAGCCAACGGAATCCAATGGCGGATAATCCTGGATATTGTTGGTTGGGAGACACCAGTTAGCCGTGCCAGCTCCTCTTCCGGATAATCCTTCCACACCTTCACCATTGCAATAAAAAAGCAGTCTTCCAGTGGCAGGATTGGTGCAGTACCTCTTGCTTGGGTGGCTGAACGGGTGGACAAAACAAGTTTGAACATCTCCTCAAACTGTCCGAATGTTCTGAACCCAGTATACCAGCGAATGTTTTTGTCCGATGTGAACTGCCGTGCCGTAAAACGCTGCCTTTCAAGCTGAGCTCCGAGGATCGTGTTTTGGTCTTTCAATAGCTCTAGCTGTGATTTCAGGTCCAAGATCTCATCCCTCAGCCGCTGATTCTCTTCGACAACGTCCACCTCTCCAGTATCCTCAGTGCTGGCCACTTCTTCCTCATCCACCGTCATACTTTCTTCTTCGGCCTCACTCGCTTTCTTGGAGGTCAGTGTTTGGCGCTCCACCACTGGGATGGTCCAAGCAAATACAGAGGGAACTTCATCGTCATTCTCGCGTTGCAGGGCTGGGAAATGTGCTCCACATACACGCACATCGTTTGTTGCAGTCACCATCAAATTTTGTTTTCGAACAGCATCTTTCCACGATTTGATTAATTTTCAAAGCCGTGTAGCTAGATGTGGATCAGCGCTTTCGGGCAGGGATTTGGGGAACTTGGCGAACGGCAACGTCCTGCACACGCTGCAAGCGCCCCTACAGCCGACCCGCTTTGCCGTATTCCCACAAAGACGATACTCTTCCATCGACCATTTGCCAGTGCCGTCCTGAACACATCGGTACCCTCGCTTGCATTTCATCGCCCCAGACACGTTCCGACAGCCAGGAACAGTACATGAGTGCGGCATTGCTAGTTTAGAACGTATGCTGACAGCGGTGAAAACAGAAAACCCCTTAGTTAAGGGATCAAAACAACACACGTTCCAAAACTAAGTCACGTCAAAAGAAAACAACCAAAGCGGACTTCTCGTTCGTAAAATCTTCCTCCCAAATGCTGCCTCTGCCAGCTTGATTTTGAACTGTACCCCGCGCCGGCCGCGCGGTGAAAGGATGACGTAATTGAATACGGTCTATCGTGGCCATTATTATTTTTCTGGTTTTAGAGTTCGTATCGGAGCAGCCGTTAGCCGTCATGGTCGACGTAAAACACTATTTACATACACAAGCTCGGGGAGCAAAAGTCTCTCTGTCCCATAAGCTGCCACATACCAACTAAATACAAAACCCTGCACTTAACACGAGCTGACTTGCACGCGTGGCCCTTTTCACAAACCCAGACAAAGGGATATTGGTCTATTATAACGCATGTACGAAGTCACTAGATTACACCCGCACCAGAGATGAAGGCGACAGCGCCAGACATCAATACGGTGTTGTGCGGTATAAGGATGTCGTATAGCACGTCGTACAACAGGACGATGAAATTGTGGGAGAAACCAGCGACCGCTTGGGAATGATGAACATTACAACAGTCTTATTGTGAGTGATAGTCAGGCCAAGTTTCTGAAGATCAGTAGCGAGTGCGATCCCGAGCATTATGTTAGCATTACGAAAGCATAGACAGGATGCGTATTACAGGAGACCCAAGTTGCTGAAGACCAGTAGTCATTGCTGATAACGTGCAGAAAAACTAAATCTGCAGCCACTTTTGCCGTCGGACAGGATGCGTATTATAGGAGACTAAAGTTATGTAATGTTAAGCACAAGCACACTATCAAGGCGAGGACATTATTGTATTGTATTGTATCGTATTGTATGGAATATAATTTTACCTCATTGGCTCAACAGGTCAATGTATCACTACAAAAAGGCCAGAAAATCCGATTACTGTAAAAGCCATTATTATAACGAGGCGCATATAACGATTTCCCAAAATTGACTAGTTTACGTGTACCAAAGGTAACGATTCTCACTCATTCTCAACGCTCAATAGGACAGTATATGTATCGATTTCTGTATAACGATTTCTATTTTAACGACAGATTTCTCCTCGTTAACTCGTTAGAGTTAGCACTTCGTTATATATATGGCTTTTACAGTATAAGGAGATAAAAAGGAAAAGAAGGAGCAAACCCAAAGTGGATGAAGTGAGAGAAAATAACAATCCGCAATAAATTCTGCAATTACTTTTGCCTAACTCATATTCAAACTGATTGAAACGTTTTTGCAATACAATGATGTAGCCAATCAATGGAAAAAGCATTTCCATCAGTTCTAATAACATGCACGACGAGCTAGGCAAAAAAAGCATAGCGTAGGGCTCTGAGCTTCCAAGCTCTCTCGTTGCCGAAGCTACTGTAAAAGCAGAACTTTTCGGTGGTGTTTTATTTTCGGTAACTTCGGTGCCAAAATTTTTACCGAAAATAAAACGCACCGAAAATGTCGGTACTGGTACTAGTACACTTACCTGGAAAACGGGTTTACCAAAAATTCCCCTCCACCGAACCACGTGACTGTCGCCGAAGCATGGCGAGGGCCTTGAGCTTGGCAGCTTATGTTTTGCCATGTACCCTTGTACAACTTTTGCCATCCTGTGTACCAGCGGGGAACCCGTGGATTTCCACCACCCCCCCCCCCCCCCCCCCCCCCCCCCTGTGTTAGTGCATACCTGTCTCCTGTACTTGGAAATATCTTGTTGATACTTCCAATGGATCCACACAGGTTCTCATCTGTTTTGTCTGCTTTGATAGTTACTGTATTCATCATCGCATGCAGTGGAACATCGTAAATCCGACCTCCTTGCTGTTTCCTGTTTGCTGTTGTTTGCTTTCTAGGGTAAAGGTATCGCCCTCGGAGAAATTGAAGGAAGTACGTAGCAACGGTGTTTGTGTTTGTTTATTTTCCTTGTGAAGCGTAAGCTTACATTGTCCTTCCCTGATTTGTCACTAACACCCCGCTTGAGGATAGCACCGATGCACCAGCACCACCGCGATTGCCTATTTTTTGTTTAGACAAAGTCAATAGCTGAGCAATGGACAGGAGGCACCATCACTGGATCTTATGAATTTTTCAGCGGGGATCTTATGAATTTTTCAGCGGGGGTCTTATGAATTTTTCAGCCTGTGACTTGATGCTTACTCATGACGAATGTCGACTAGTCAGCTTACGCTACTCTACTATCCATTTTTTTTTGTATTTTCTGATTATTCTTTCTGTTTGTTTCAGTTAATGATGCCATTTCTCGAGTTACAAGTGACGATCTCAAGATTTTTCACCGCTTGTTGTTTGGCTCGCCTGGCAAGGTAAGCTGCGGCATTGCTTTGCTCACATAGTGTGCTACAAGCCCGTCGTCGTCTACTGATGTGTTGATCACTGATGTGTTGATCACTGATGCGTTGATCACTGATGCGTTGATCACTGATGTGTTGATCACTGATGTGTTGATCACTGATGTGTTGATCACTGATGTGTTGATCACTGATGTGTTGATCACTGATGTGTTGATCACTGATGTGTTGATCACTGATGTGTTGATCACTGATGTGTTGATCACTTATGTGTTGATCACTGATGTGTTGATCACTGATGTGTTGATCACTGATGTGTTGATCACAGCCACTTGCACAGGGAAATGAAAACATTTTTTTGTCAGTGTGAAGAATTGAGCCCCCGACACAAGCCAAGACATCTATTTTAGGACAAGGGAAATGCATATAGGTGGGATGATGATCATGTTCAGGGCTGAAAGGAGGCAGTGGTAGCGATGAGCGCCAAGCATGTGCATGAACAAGACAAGAGCCCCCTTTTTTTTTATAAGACAAGCCTTGGATTTGACGAACATTTCCCTGGTCCCGAGGGGTGCATCTTATCTGAGTTTGACTATACATGTACTCAGGGCAAATGTCCTTCCGTTTTGAAATCTGTCCGGACATGCCCGGACATGTTCCACAACACATTTTCAGGGTGTTCTTCTTCTTTTTTTTAGTAGTACTGAAGTATATTCACAATGACTCATTATGTGGACGTATCTCACACATTACTATGCACAATTCGCCAATATATTTGTATTAGAAACTGAACTATTTTACTGACGACAAATGTATGTACAAGAAAGCGTTGCAGTCCAGAATTTTGCGAACGCGATATGCTCCTTGACCTTCGAATTTGTGTCGTGCAATAGCGGCAGCACCATCGTCCATCTCGCACAGTGCCTTCGCAATTGGAGCGAATTCGAGGGCATTTCGAGCGGGACACTCTTGCCTGCGGAAAAGATTCATTGCTCGTTTGTGCATCTCCGTTCCAGCATGATCCTCAAGTTGAACGCTGATGTTCTCAGGTTCTTGGATCCGGTTATGAAAGCCTCGCTGAAGTTTTTACAACTGCGGACTCTGTCTACAAACTTGATGCACACGGGACACTTCAAACATTCTGCTGACAGCCGATCGTTCTTCTGCCGGTCATAAATCAGCCAGGCGGAAGAAGTCAGCTCTGCATCATTGTCCGAGATCCACTTATCGCAAGTAGCGGCCTTCACACCACAGACTTTTTTGCCCGGCGGCAAGTCCTCTGAATCTCCCTTTCGCTTTCCAGAAGACATTCTAAAAGACTATCTGCATTCCTGGTCAGTGAAAGGGTGAAAATAAAAAGATGACATCTTCCTCTCAAGAGCGAACAACTGCACTGCAGTTCAACCCATCGATTCAGTCAGGTGCGAAGTCGACACCATGTACCAAAGGTCGAAAGTGTGAATTTACTGTAGCAACCGCGTTGCTACAGGCGGATCAAGTAAATATGGTGAAGTCTACGCCTGAGGCTACGGTGTAGACGTGTTAGTTGTACGATATGCAAGTCGCAGTTGGCACGAAGCGGCCGAAGAAAGCCCAACTCTGCATAAAAAGGTCGAAAGGTCGCTGCTCTTTTTTTCCTTTTTTGACCGGACACTATGTCCGGTGAAAATGAAAACGTCCGGTCAGTGGCCGAAAATGGCCGGAAAATGTCCGATGTCCGGCCGTTAATCTATGCCCTGATGTACTTGTAGTTTCTACTTCTTGATAGGCATCTCAAGATTATGTAACCACTGTTGTAGGCACATAGGATATGCACTATTCCTCAGCCTGCAGCATGCGTTTACTCATCACAACAGTGCAGTTTCTTTCCTGAGTAAGTGATGGGGTCTGTCTGTACTAATTCACCCTATGAACTGCTATGTGTGCGCTTTTGTTTTGACAGAAATTAGAAGTAAAGAAGCACATCCGCTTGTTCAGTGGCTTTGTATTTGAGCAGAGTGATGACCGCTTTGAATCCAAGAAAGCCTTCCTAACCAAGTGAGTTGTGTTTGTGCACACATACACAGTGTAAAAGCCATTATTCTAACGTGGCGCATATAATATATGCGCCACGTTAGAATAATGGCTTTTACATTGTGTATGTGTGGGGAAATCATTATAATTATTATAATGATTTCCCCCAAATTGACACTGAGGTTTACGTGTACCAACGGTAACGACTCTCACTCATTCTCAACGCTCAATAGGACAGTATATGTATCGATTTCTTTAATGATTTCTATTTTAACGACAGATTTCTCCTCGTTAACTCGTTAGAATTAGCACTTTGTTATATATATATGGCTTTTACAGTAATGTCAAGAGTCCATAAACAAGAGTATGCAACTGTGATCTCTTTTCTATGGGCCAGATGCGCGGCGCGCTGCCTTCATTACATCATTCAGCTGCAGTCCGCGCACTGCGGAAAATCAAATACCGCACTTTTCCTCTGGTTTGAAATGAACTTTCGTACGGAACTGGAGTTCACGCGCCAGAATTTAAAGGTTGCGTAGGTACTGGAACGAATCGAGCAAAAACAGATGGGCTCGTACAAGAAATTGTGAGTTTGAATGCATGCTTTCAGAGCGTGATGAAGGCAAGTTACGTAATGAAGGCAGCGCACCGCACACTGACCCATAACCACAGTTGCATACTCTTGTTTATGCACTCTTGGTAATGTATATACATACACTATACAAACATACACTATGCACACATACACTATGCACACATACACTACATGCATGTAGTTGCAGACCAGATGAGGCGGCAATGTGCTCCAATCAGGAACTCCGCCTGAATGGCCTCTAAGCTGTTAACCACATTGACGGTTGCACCAGTGGCAGGTAGAATAACAGCATCATACAAACGCTGTGGCTGGAGTGACTTGTGCCCGTGAGTCTTCAAAGGCTGGCCATCCGGTGCCACAAGGCTATCGTTCCTATTAGGAAGGATCGGCAGCTGAGTCGTCGAGCACATACCAAGTCGATCAGGGTATAAGTTGATCTCGTATCAACGATGGATACAGTATGCTCCCGCAACACAGTATCACCCGGATGAATATCCAGGTACATCTGAATCAGGGACTTAATGTGCAAAGCACGTGGTTCTTGCGCTTTCCACCGCCCTTGACTGCAGCTGTCTTGCCTCCCACTCAGCTCTATCAGTGCAGTCTGTCCTAGTGTGGCCACGAAATGAGCAAATCACGCTGCTCTTCTTCGTTCCGTTTGATCTCTTTGCCGCTTCGGGCAAAATCTACTGATATGGCGCAGTTCATGGCAGTGATGGTACCTAACACCGGGAGGGGGGATTTGCTGGTTCCAGGAGCCATCCCTGCAACTTGAGCCATCGGGCCGGAATGCCGCAGGGCTCGCACTTTGCTCAGGAGTGCAGTCATCTTAATTTCTTCGCCGGCAAACGACAGATGTACCTGCTTTGGAGAGTCACTGGGCAGACCCGCGATGAATGAGTGCTGTCATTATGTCCTGATTACCCAACCTTGGTTCCTATACTACCGGTATGTCTTTTGTACTGATTTGTACAACTTAGTACAACTTTAATAATAATTACTTAGTACAACTTAGTACAGCCTTGTCTCCTTGCCATTTGTTTAAACTGGAGAGTTAATATGTTTTGTCTCGTTTCCGGGATGGGGATTTTTCTCGAAGTGAATATCGAATTTTGTCTCTTGCGTTTCACGCTGTCCGTTTGTTTCTCATCTCACTCCAGGTATCCACTTCCCATTGTAAAAGAGATCTGTGATTACATGTGCCTTTCACACACTGGATCTAAGGTATTGACTACATGAATGCACTGCACTGCACTGCACTACACTACACTGTATTGTTGTAAGATGTTCTGTGGCCTATTTGGTGGGTAGTTTCACTACTAGTTTGTGTGTTTGTGTGTCCAAGAATATTACTGTTCCAGTGTGTTGAAAGCACTGTGATACAGTTGTCCCTCTCTAATCCGGCACTTGTTTATCCGGAACCCTTGCCAACCGGCGCACTTTCTGACGAAACCGATTTTTTTCGTTCAATTCCTACATCTTAATCCGGCACTTGAATTCCGCCTCCGGCAGTGACTTTTTGAAACCAATCGCTCAAACTGCACTTAGTTTGATTTCATAATCCGGTAGTCGTAAATCGCGTACCGTACATGTGCACTCCTTGCCAGGCCAGGCTAGGCCAGTCTAGTCAGTGCCGCGCGCGCGGGGCCACTTCAGAATTCAGTTCAGTTGACAACTGTACTCGACCTCGCGCGGGAGAGTTCAGTTCAGTTGGTTGTTAGGACTTTTCCAAACCCTAACTCAATTTATACAAAGAGAAAGACCAAGGAACTACAAGTTACGCTATACTGTCCACTAACACCACCAGTTACTAAACAATCAACTCATGCGATAACATTGCACGACACTGACCGACGGTACTGACGTTCTACAACTAACTACAACGTTCGACCTGCATGATGTCGACTGCTTCGCGTGGCCTTCTCAAGAGGGTCAATGTTGTCCAGGAGACAACGGCTAAGCAGTCAACCATACTTTCTTATTTTACCAAGGAGTAGTGTCCTGCCAATTTTCAGGTGTGTGTGCGTGTGTGTGCAAGAGTACATGTGAACATGTTCTCTGTTTTACTTTATCACTTTATCACTGTGTATATTCCTGGAGAACAGTTGAGAATATGAAGCCGTGCACCAAATACTTGGGTCGACACGGAAAAACCCTGCGTTTTGACGTATGATACATGCATGCAATTGGGTAGGGCCGGGTCAGAGGGCAGGATTTCTTAATCCAGCACCCTCGTTAATCCAGCAGAAAACGCCGTAGCAAAAGGTGCCGGATTAGAGAGGGACGACTGTACAATAGAAACTGCATAAGCAAGCCCAACAGTTTTCTAATGTGATGGAAAGTCTACATTCATGTTTCTTCCACCCGGTCCCACCGCTTACAAGTTTTAATAGAGAGGTTCCGCATAACGTAATTACGTTAGAAAAAAACGTAGTCGATCTACGGAAAGTCTTACGTAAACTGCATGCGCATCTGGGTTCCGCCATACGGAGTTTTCAAATCACGTAGCTGCCCTTGGCAACTCCGAACACGGCAGTGTACGACCAGATCGACCTGGGGAGAGAGTCATAAATTTGTACCCCAATCCACTTACGGACCAGCTACGTTATCAGAGCCCTATCTACGTACTCTCCGTAGACAACTTTCCGTAAGTGGAGTGCAAACTCGCGAATTCACGGTTTTTTCCCGCCCACTAACGTAAAGTAGCTCAACTTTACGTAGTGCGGAACCTCTCTAATGCCAGAATTACATTGCCTGAGGATCGCAACAGGGAAAACTCCCGTTCTGCCTCATTTGTAAGGAAGCTCTGCCCGTTGCGGTATTCAGCACATTCAGCACTGTGTGGACAAAGGTCTAAGTCTACCGTATCACTCAGAATATATGTATCTACCATACATACTAACATACCATATCGTCACTCAGAATACCTACCATACGTGTACATACATGTACGTACTAACATACCATGCTGTCACTCAGACCATGCTGTCACTCAGCTGATTACATAGGAAGTGGTGTAGAGTAGATCTGATCTTTCCCCGGTCACTCTGCAATCATCAAACTCGCTGTTATCACCTTTTTGACCTTTGACGCCCATTGCCGGAGGCGATGATAGCGATGCTACAGCAGAAGCCAGAGCAACTTGTGCTGGGATTGCACCATTCAACCGCTTGCAAGGCTAAAGAATTGACCGCCACGATTCAGCCTGGTGTACACCACACAGCTGCGAAGTGGCTTTTTCTGGCCAGTGAATCCCTACTTCACACACACGCGCGCACACACACACACTCACATGCACACACACACACACGCACACACACACACACAAATCCACCGAAACATCAGTGCGAAAAACGAGTTTGATGATTGCCGAGTGTTGGGGAAAGAGCAGGTCTGCTCTGCACCACTTCCTCTACAAGTATAGATGAAGGTGCAGGAAACCTGAGCAATCTGACCAACCTGACAACTCAGTTGATTACAGCTTGTTGTTTGTGTACTCCCGTATTCTTCCTGTGTATTTTCAGGTGCAATTGATAGATCGTGTCTTGGAGTTCCTCCTGAAACCAACCGATCACTCCAAACATGTGAGTTAGGGAAGGAGACGACGTGTGTACTTGTGTTGTTGCTTGTCCTCTACTTCATTTAGACTTTATTTGAAAGATTCTCCAAAAGTAAATGGATTCTTATCGGGGAGTTTCCTGGAAGGGTGGATGAGACGAAAGGGAAGTGAAAAGGGACAAGGGAAAATACTTAGCAGAAACACTGCTCAGGGAAAACTACACTGTCTACAGGTAAGGGCGCGTTCAGACTACCGTGAATCCCGTCAAACCGTGAATGCCGATAAACCATGGGACATTCACACTACCGATAACAAACTAACGTTACCGTGAAGTTTTCAGCTCTCACCGCGGCACTGACAATTGATTTTCCCTTTTCCCAGCCCGCATGCAGCCTGAGCACTTTTTTACTGCCGGTCAAAAGTTAACTGCCGCAGCAGCCGCGGCAGTAAAACTGTTCCACCGGTAACGTGCCAGTAACGTCACGTGATCAAAATCACCTTGGCGACTTTCCCATTCCGTCACTTTTTATCGGTAGTCTAAAACCCACCAGGGAGACACAGAATAATGACGAGCGCTAGATACGAAAATCATGAATTCCAGTCGTGGAGAATTTATAACGTTATTCAGCTGAGCGACCAGACTTGTAGCCAGTGTCAACCTTGGCCGCCCACGAGGTGCTTTGTTGCCCTTGTCAAAATAGCCGCTCATGGCTACTTGCGGTGGCGTGTCCGTGTCCATCTGTAGCACATGACCGGTCATTCGTAGTCGCCTACATGCAACTGTGTCCGATATAGGGTTGCTCTTGGTTCTACGGTATAGGTCGTCGTTTGAGATTGTGTCAAGGAATGGATATGGTAACCCCAATATGTTATCATGAGTACAGGCTCACATTCAGCATGCCATCCCGTGTTTTTGTACCAAACATTTTGAACAATTTATTGTACAGAGTGGAAATGAAGTACCATGTTTTCGGAAATTACCGCCTGTCTGAAATAAGCGCCACATCATATCCTCGAAAATGCAGTCAAAATAGCTCCTTCACAAGTTGTACCCCCCCCCCCCCCCCTCTGCTACCTTCAGTGTCGTAGCTTCTGTTGTCTTGTTGTTTCAGGCTCCAACAAAGAAAGTCAGCCGTTCCACTTCTCCCAAGAAACCTGCAACCAGCAACCCGAGCAAGACAGCCCGTGTGACTTCTCCCAAGCCAGCTCCCCGCTCAAGTTCTCCCAAGAAAACTCCGAAGAAGACACCTGTTAAATCGGCTTCAAGCAGAAGAAAAAGCACAACACCGCGAAAAAGTAATGTGGCAACATGAGCCCCCCCCCCCCCCCCCCCCCACACACACACGAATAGATTTTGTTCATCTGTGTTCCTGGATCATAATGCCCCTGGACTGGCGGGGCCTGGTTGACTGGGTGTACGACCTGGTTTCTTATTCACAGAAATGTGGCATGCATACACTGCAGCTTGACACCCACTGTTTGAACTCTGCTTTCTGGTAGCACACGTGCCAGAATTCCAGCAGCAGCTGCTGTAGATCTGTTCACGCGGTTGTCACTGTGTGTCTTTTGACTACTTGGTGATGCATGGGCATGGGCATGGGCATGGGCATGGGCATGGGCATGGGCATGGGCATGGGCATGGGCATGGGCATAGGTAGGTCAGTGGTAACGCTATCTCCATCTTTGTATGCATAGTGGTGTGTATGTGCTTACATGTCCTTACATGTCTTGTAGTCCCCACTGCTGCGACTGTCATGGACTCGGATTCTTCTGATGAAGAACCACTTAGCAAGAAGGTCAAGACTCCTTTCCCAACGGTATGTCCAGTGTTAAAAACTTCTCTTTCTAGGGTGTTTTTATCCGATGCCATAGTCCTAAAACTAAGAGTGTAACGATTATTTGTATTCGAATTTATTCCAACTATTTTTTGGTTTTTTTATTCCAGCTAACAGTGCTCCAAGAATATTTGAATAGGACAGTGCATGCAATGATGCAACCATCAGGCAGTCTTAGCTGGACTATAGGGTACACCGTGGACTATAGGGCACACCGTAGACTATAGGGTACACCGTAGACTATAGGGTATGCTGCAGACTATAGGGTATACTGTAGACTATAGGGTATACTGCAGATTATACCTCACTCCATATTCACCCACATACAATTGGCCATCTACATAAGTGGTGAATATTGCTGAATATTCACCGCTTATATTCACCACTTACCTCATATTCACCACTTATATTCACCACTTTTCGATACTTACATTGTACTGTAAAGAGAGCAGTACTCGGTGCTGCGCTTGATTCCTCTTCAGCCAGCGCACCGGAGCTGTCGAGTGCCCTAGAAAATGTCTACGCTAACTTCCTTAGACAGGACTTTTCTGAGTACAAACGAAATAATTCCTTGCTTGCCATTGCCGCTGGATCCGCATGTGACCAGGTGCTGACAGTGAGCATCTTCACAGCTACAGACGGAGCGTTCCAGCGAGAAAACAAGGTTTTGGACGCTCAACATGTCAATGGCCCGATGATTGCAGATCAAGCGGCAAGCCAGGAATTTCGTTTGTACTCAGAACAGCCCTGTTCAAGGACGTTAGCGTAGAATTTTCCTAGGGCACACAACAGCTCCGAAGCGCTGCCTAAAAAGAAAAGAAGTGAGGGTAGAACCGCTTGGCTCGCTGTTATAAACCGACTCCCGAATTGGCGCGATGGTCGCGGATTGGTCAAATCTTCGCGTGAAATGAAACCTCTCTCTGATTGGTCAAATCTTCGCCGAAACGAAACCTCTCTCTGATTGGTCAAATCTTCGCGTGAAACGAAACCTCTCTAATGATTGGCTTCCGCCACAAAGCTGCACGAGCGTGTTCTCCATGGTGATTGGCACGAGCGTGTTCTCCAAGGTCGTCACCTCCCATGCCACATGCACCAGTACGTGTACACGATCGATTGAACAAGATTCTGAACACGCCGCCCTCCGATTCAGGCAAGAACACGCCAGTCGGTCTGAAGGCTCAGTGAAGCAACAACGACTTACGTTAGTTCTGTGTACATGTACATGTATGACCAACAGGACTGGTTTGTTGGGTTTTAGGGACGAGAGGGTGAATATGGAGAGGTATAAGTCTAATATTACCTTCAGCCTCGTGAATATGGGCGAATATTCACTAGTTATACAAACCTCGGCTTCGCCTCGGTTTGTATACGTATAGATTATAGACCGGTTAGGAGGTCTATACAGGATATATAGACCGAGTAAAAGACCGAGGTCCCCCGAGGTCTTTTACGAGGTCTATATATCCTGTATAGACCAACTATAAGGTCTATAATCTATTTATCGTGTTCTCCACGCAATAGTTTCTCTTCATATACGACATATCCTTGTAATTCTAGTATTATACTATAGCCTATACCGCATTGTACTGCATTGAAAGTCAAGATCATTGTTTAAACTAGGTTCAGCATCGGTAGCACAGTGGCTGGGTGGTAAGGAAGAGTGACTGAGATTCACAAGGTTGTGGGTTCAAATCCCATCTTGTGTATTTCTGCTTTCTTCAAAAATTTCTTTTTCTAAGTTGGAGAGAAAATTTCTAAGTCCAAGAAGTTCTAAGGAGTCAAATATATTTGACCGCTTAGGTATCAGGGAAATTAGTGGGGTCAAATACTAAGAAGGCGATAATAGTGAATATTCGCCCATTAGTCCACAAGCCAAGGTGCCAAAAAGTGACTTTTCGCTCCCGTTCAAGGGGGACAAAGGTTTGTCATGTGCAAATGATAGAGAATGCGTAGAGCTTTCAGGATCTGTGTCACTTGACCCAGAAACATGGGGCTTTGTTGACCAAATCGACGAAATACTTCTTGAAGAGTGTTACCATAGCAACCAAAGTGATAATTCCCAATTTAGGTATCTTGCAGATTAAATACTAACAGTGTTGCTTTGGAATGAAGTAGCCAAGGCCCAGACCTAGCTGTGTACAAATTTTCATGATGATCGGAGGTGTCTTACTACCTCAATAGCATTGCTTGGAATAGAACACAATAGCGTCAATACACGGAATGCAATATAAGTCACATTTGAGAAAATATTTACAAACAAGGAGCCTGCACAAAATAGGAAATGTTGACAAGTAGTCAACTACTCTAGATTGATAATTTATGATTTCCTAGCATGAAGGCTCTGATTATAATAGTACTAGCATAATGGATCGGATGGAGAGCCAAGTATAAATTTATAGTCAAGAAAAAAAGGACCACTAAACTACAAGTTACGCTATAATGGCCATTAACACCACCAGTTACTAAACAATCAGCTCATGCCATAACATTGCACGACGGGCCTTCTCTATCAAAATAATAAATTCTACTACTACTACTACACTGACCAACGGTACTGAATTTCTACAACTAGGTGGCTAACAACTCTAGCACATCTTGGATGCGCACACCAACAGCCTTCCAACTTACTATTTTTTATTTTTTATTTTATTATTTTGCGAGGGTGTTTCCCACAGCCCTATGGTCTTCTTACGAGAGCCCCTAGAAAGGTTAAGCATGATCGAATAAATGTGCGATAATCTGTACAAGAACGAACAGTGGAAGGCAGCATGTTCCACTGATCAGAACCTATGTAGCCAAGACGAGAAAAGCCGCTTTAGTGCAGGCAGAAGGCAAGGCCAGAGTAAAAGAGATTTGGGACCTAGTGACGGCAGTAGTGTGTCCACTAGAGGAGCGGGTATGGCAAATTTCTTTTAGGAGAGAGCTGCATGTGCCGCTATGGACAGAGCGAAATACAAGAATAAAAAGCTTCAAATTGACTCGGACAGAAATGTGGGAGAGGTCGTAAAGGCTAAGAATATGTGAGGCACTGGTGAAGTTATCGAAACCAAAAACTATTCTTAGGCCCCTGTTAAATAGCCGGACATACTTATTGAAATACTAAGAACTAAGGGCGTGGACGTAAGCACTGCTTGCATACTCCAATGACGACTGAATGACACTAAGATAAAAGCTACGCCGTGCGTGAAATGGCAAGAGATATATTGACATGCGGTAGGCACCGAGTTTCCTGTTGACAGACCCAATCAAGCTGTCAATTTGTGACCCAAAAGTCAGGTGCTCGTCAATAACAATGCCAGGATAGCGTGCGGACTGCGTGCGGACTGCACTCGAAGAACATGGATGCCGTCAATGACGACACTGGCGGAACCAGGCACTGCTGCTGTCTGTCTGTGAGGGAGAAGGAAGTTCGTTTTGCTAGGTTCAGCGTCATGCGCTTCCCTTTCAGGTAGGCAGACAGCTTGATCAGATCTCCGTTCAACGTTCCTATGACTTCCTCAGCAGAGTCATCAGCTGCGTACATATTCACATCATCCGCAAACTGCAGAACTGTGGAATTGTTCACACAGGAGGGGAGACCACGGACATAGAGGCTGAATAGGACAGGCCCCAAAACAGACCCCTGCGGAACACCCTGCGTGCGTGGCAGGCCGGCCCTCTGGTGCAATGAGCTGCTGTGTTCGATCACTCAGGTAGCTTTTAAACCATGCCAGAGCCGAGTCACCAATCCCACAATCAAATAACTTATTCAACAGCAACTGGTGATTGACGCTATCAAACACTTTCCTGACATCAGCAAGCACTACGCCAACAACCTTCCCATTATCCAAATCTATCATCCAGTTATCAATTATAATACAATTGCAACAGTCAGGGCCTCCTTACACGAATGATATCGTCTGTATGCAAATTGCTGGGGTGGGATGTCAGGATTCTCTTGGAAGGCTGTTGGAGTGCGCATCCAAGATGCGCTAGAGCTTTTAGCCAGTTAGTTGTAGAACGTCAGTACAGTCGGTCAGTACAGTCTTCCGCTCTACCAACTGAGCTATCGAAGAAGACACATGCCACATGGCCAGGTAGTGTAATCCAAGGCATGAGCTGAGATAGCATGGCCTTCATCTTGACTTGTCGAGTTGGTGGTAGTAGTAGTAGTAGAGCTTTTAGCCAGTTAGTTGTAGAACGTCAGTACAGTCGGTCAGTGTCGTGCAATGTTATCGTATGAGCTGATTGTTTAGTAACTGGTGGTGTTAGTGGACATTATAGCGCGCATCTTGTAGTTTAGGGTCCTTTTTTTCTTTACTAAAAATTTATCCTTGGCTCTCCATCTGAGTCCATTCTTGCACACCTGATGAGCCGTCCTTATCTATACGGCGAAACGATCGTCGTGTGAAACTGCTGCTTGTTACCCGCTGCTTATTGTCCATTATTATTATTATTAAATTTTTGATAGGGCGATCCCCACAGGCCTAAGGCCTTCTTACAGGGTACCCTAAATGTGCCAATACAAGGTTACGGAAGCGAGAAACAGATGTGCATAGGCGAATCTAAATTGTCATAGTCGAAGTACAGTACTATTTTACTGAGGCATTCGGTTTTGCATGATTCTTGTTCGCATACATGTAGCTTCCCATTTTATTGATCTTCGCATCTTTGAGCCACACAAGTTGTGTGGAATGTTGCTTTGCGTCCTTGAATCGTGGTTTGACCGTATTGTCCAGTGGTCTTGCCAGTATCGTCATCGACATGCATGAACATCCGCCAACGACGTCCTTCACAGCTGAGACGTTCCGCCTTCATGCTAGGAATCATAAAGTATCCTTCTAGTGTGCTTGACTACTTGTCAACATTTCCTATTTTGTGCAGGCTCCTTGTTTGTAAATATTTTCTCAAATGTGACTTATAATTATTGCATTCCGTGTATTGACGCTATTGTGTTCTATTCCAAGCAATGCTATTGAGGTAGTAAGACACCTCCGATCATCATGAAAATTTGTACACAGCTAGGTCTGGGCCTTGGCTACTTCATTCCAAAGCAACACTGTTAGTATTTAATCTGCAAGATACCTAAATTGGGAATTATCACTTTGGTTGCTATGGTAACACTCTTCAAGAAGTATTTCGTCGATTTGGTCAACAAAGCCCCATGTTTCTGGGTCAAGTGACACAGATCCTGAAAGCTCTGCGCATTCTCTATCATTTGCACATGGCAAACCTTTGTCCCCCTTGAACGGGAGCGAAAAGAGCGAATAGTCATTTTTTTGCACCTTGGCCTGTGGACTACATATTCACTCGGCTTCAGGTAATATTATATACCTATAGGGTATACTGCAGACTATAGGGTATACTGCAGACTATAGGGTATACTGCAGACTATAGGGTATACTGCAGACTATAGGGTATACTGCAGACTATAGGGTATACTGCAGACTATAGGGTATACTGCAGACTATAGGGTATACTGTGGACTATAGGGTATACTGTGGACTATAGACCTTATTCGATACACGTCACGGGTCACGTGGACCCCACTCACGTGACCCAAGGAACCTCCGAAAAACTGGACGAGTGGCAAGAAGTGTTTTGTTTTGAAAGTGCGTGTTGATAGTTGTGGGCAAGTGTGTTTGGAGGAGAGCTTTGGAATTGTTCTGGGTAGCTGTCACTGTCGTTGGTCAGGGAGACGTGGGTAGGGAGTAGTAGTATGGTGAAGAGTTGCTGTGCAGTTGGTTGCGCTAACCGTTTCGCGAAAGGCGGTGGAAAGAGCTTTTATAAGTTCCCAACTAATCAGCTCAGGAGAGCAAAGTGGATTGCTGCGCTGAAGCGCAAGAACTGGCAGCCCAACGCTTCCAGCTGGGTGTGCTCGGATCACTTTGTAAGGTTCAAGAAGAGCGACGATCCACTATCCCCTGATTTTGTCCCGTCTGTTTTTTCAGACGTGGGTCGAGTAAATGGTGAGAAAGCTTACGTAAAATTTGATCGCCACAAGGCCCGACGGCATGCAGCTTCAAAGCCAACAGCTCAGCCTGAAGATACCTGCCATGGCAATCATGAGCCCGTGCTGACTGGAGAAAGTGACTGTAATGCTGACAAGGAAATCGAAGAGGAGAGTGCGCCGAGAGATTCATGTTCGTCAGACTCTGTTGAGCCAGCGTCCCCAGCTCAGCCAGAGCTCACTGAAGCCAGCAGCCATGTCGACAATAGTGCTGAACAAGAAAATGACGATCTGCGACGGCGGCTAGCCTTGCTTCAGGCGACAGTGGCACAGCTGGAAGAGGACAAATGCCAGCTGAATGGTCAGTTGCAGGAACAGAAATCTGCTATTTCTGCTCTCACCGTCAAAGTACAGCACCTGGAAGCCACTGTGAAACATCAAAAATCAGAGGCGGCAATGTCTTCCATCATATCAGGATTCAAGTCCAATGATGACATGATGAGATATGAAACTGGCCTCCCATCTTTTGCTGTGCTGGAGAAAGTGTTCGCATTTGCTGGCAAGGACATCCCCGACCACCACCGAGCGGCACTTCCGTCCTTTGCGCAGTTTATTATTGTCCTGATGAAGCTGCGCCTCAACTTGCACGATCAAGATCTAGCACATCGCTTCGGCATTAGCCAGTCTACCGTCTCAAAGTACTTCCACAAATGGATCCACGTCCTTTATGACAGGCTGCAGCCGTTGATCATCTGGCCAGAGCGCTCCGAACTGTACCGCACGATGCCATTGGAGTTTCGCGGACAGTTTGGGAAGTGCATTTGCATTATTGATTGTTTTGAAGTGTTTTGCGAAAGGCCACATGGTCTGATGGCCAGGGCTCAAACCTTCTCTAATTACAAACACCACAACACGGTTAAATTTCTTATTGGTATCACCCCGCAAGGCACTATTTCCTTCATCTCCAAAGGATGGGGTGGCCGGACATCGGATAAGTACATCACGGAGCATTGCGGGCTGTTGGACAAGCTATTGCCGGGTGATCAGCTAATGGCAGACCGGGGATTCACGGTCAGTGATGCCGTTGGCCTGCACTGCGCTGAGCTGGTCATACCTCCGTTCACAAGAGGCAAGAAGCAACTGTCGAGAATCAGCATTGAGAAGGCCAGGAAGCTGTCTCGGCTACGAATCCATGTGGAACGTGTTATCGGCAACTTGCGGCAGAAGTACACTATTCTGCAGTCAACCCTGCCAGTGAACATGCTGATGAGTGATGCCTCAACAGGAGTGTGCACCATCGACAAGATTGTCCTGGTGTGCTCTGCGCTGTGCAACTGCTGCGACTCAGTGGTGCCTTTCCAGTAGAAGTATTAACTTGTTTTTTTCCTTTTTTTGTCCCGTATTGTGGAACGTGTGGCACGTTGTTGCTGCATAGATTACCTGGACAGGAGTGCAATGCAAATTATGTTACTTGTATTTTACCACTCCCTCGAAGAACGGCTTTTGTCCCTGTGTCTAGTTATCACCAATGTGTAAATCTCAATCAATCACACTCCATTACACACACACACACACACGCACACACACACACACACACACACACACACACACACACACACACACACACACACACACACACACACACACATACACACACACGTCATGTTTCAAAAAGCACAACTTGAAATCATCATATGATTTCATCTTTTTCGCTTGCCTGCACATAATAATAACAAGCCCCCCTGTGGTCATATTGACTCCAGTTCAAATTTCTGACACGGTGGAATGTATGATCCTGCAGCCATGCATGAGCATGGCTGTTGATTTCTATGTACATGTATGGTGCAATCATTTGTGTGAGAAGTGAGAGTTTTGGTGGGTTGGGCATAGCTCCTAGTTACATAATTGCATCAGGATACATGCATGTATGCACACACACACATATACACTACTACTGCTACTATGTACAGCTGCCCTATCGGGCCACGCCGCTATCATAAGCGGGAGACAACAACTAAAAGAGAGAAGAGAGGAAAGAAAGAGCGAGAGTCAACAGAATCTAGCATGGCGTTGCACACACACACACACACACGTACACACAGTTATTCCTTCTTCTTGCATGCTGCGCATATCCACTTGCGTTTTGGTTTCTGCTTCATGCGAAGACATACCAAGTGAAACGGCTTAACTCTGCAGTCTGGATGTGAGCATTCCACCACGTCGCCGTCCTTATCCTCGTTGCAAGTGCATACAGCTCCATCAGAATTGGCGGCAGTAGATTTGAAGGATTTTGTAAAATACTTGCCGACAATCTCTGGCAGCACGCCAGCCTTGTAGAAAGACGTGATGGCTTGGACTGTCTTGTGGAAATCTGGATCTGGATGAACGCGGATGACTACACATTCCCGCACGCTCCACACCACAAAATCCGAATATGCTGCCTTGCATACAAACATCTGTGCTTGCACTTGGTATGCATACTTGTGACCAAGGCGCAAATGGAATTTTCCATCGACCTCCTTCAAACAGAAGTTGGTGTCCTTTGCCAGATCATGGAAGGACTTGTTCACGGCTTTGAAAGGGCATTTCACCTCAAGGACGCCATATCCGCAGCAAGTACAATTGATGTTTCCATCAGGACTGGCACCGAGATACGGATGAGTGGTGGAGATGACGAATCCTGAATCAGTAACTTTGAAGTCGCAGTGGTTAGGCTCAAACAGTTTGACGTAGCAGTCTCGGGCAGTCTGCTCATGCTCCAAACCCCAAGTGGTCGCTGCAGAGGAAAACTGATATGCATCGGGGTAGCAAATTGCACGAATTAGAGATGATGATGGGTTCGCAGGGGGTGTGTGAGCAGCATCACGGAACTTTGAAGCTGTCACACGCCCTGCGCGGAACCTGAACCACAGCTTGCTCTTGCTCTGATCGCGGGTTGCCTTTTCAACAGCAGCCGATTCTGCTGCTGTCACTCCCATGCCTTTCAAAACATCATCACACCGGTTCAGCAACACATCGAGCGATGCGTCTAGCATTGCCTCGTCATAGAGGTCGGTGATATAAGCTGGGAACCCAGCTGGGCGGGTTGGGACATACCTCTCGCAGAAACCAGGAACAATTGATAGTATCCCTGGCTTGCTCTGCGTGGAGGCAAGACCAGAAAAGAACTCGTTGACTTCACTGGTGGTTGGCACAGTGTATGTCGGCAGTTGTGTGGTGACATCCACACTGGCTGCTGCTGGCTTAGTGCGCTTGCTGCTCGGCGCGGCAAAATCCATCTCGCATATCCTGGCATACTGCACAGGCTGCAGGGATGGGGCAATCCACTGACATTGCGTGGAGGTGCAGGCGGAATTTTATTTCACGAAATCCGTCCTGGCCACCAGAGTAAATAGCAAGGCGGCAATGTGGGAGCATGCCTCACCCAGGCCAGCCATACACGTACAGTGGGCACAAAGCACACTCCCATCCATGTCAGCTGCCACCCAAGGCTGCAGCTCAGCAGAGGACACGGACTGGGAGTGACGGACCTTCGCCATCACAAATGCTCTCTTGCCATCCGCAGTTGCAGGAAAGGTGACGACATTGCCAACCCAACCAGCAACGAAAAACTGGTACCCCTCCAAGCTTTTGTATGCCTTCATCTCCTCTTTCGTGCAGGGACTCGGCGCGTTCACGAGATAGTGGTACAAATCAGGATACTCCACGCTGGGGAAATCAGTTGTGGCACCAGGCATGAGAGATCTGCTCGTCACGTAGGGGTCCTGGTCCGAGCCGATGAAGGCCAGCTTCTCGGCATACCGTGTCTTGCCCGCTCTATCCAAATCGCGATAGATTTCGGACAACTCTTGAACCGCCATCACTGCTAGAACACTCAAAACTACAAGAAGACTGCTTACTGCTCCGAACACCTGACAAACCTGCATGAAAGTACTTCGAGAAAAGGAAGGAGACAAACTCCGATATTGAAAATACATTCAAAACAAATTTCCGTGATGCTCAGCTGAGGCCTTTTTGCCACTCGTCCGGATCACGCGTCCGAGTGCCGGGTGCGCATCCTCGAAGGCGCCCCGAAAAATCACGTGATCGAATAAGGTCTATAGGGTATACTGTAGACTATAGGGTATACTGTAGACTATAGGGTATACTGTGGACTATAGGGTATACTGTAGACTATAGGGTATACTGCAGACTATAGGGTATACTGCAGACTATAGGGTATACTGCAGACTATAGGGTATACTGCAGACTATAGGGTATACTGTGGACTATAGGGTATACTGTGGACTATAGGGTATACTGTGGACTATAGGGTATACTGTGGACTATAGGGTATACTGTGGACTATATCCTACAATGGTTGTGATGTCCCTTCAAGGGCCTTGGCGGGAAAGCAATGTGTGTATGACCCGCTCAATGTTGTAATGGTGGGCGCGATGTTCTAGAGTTATTTGTGATGGACTGTGCTATCACATTGCACACACGGCTATGGCAGGCTTCTGTCAGTTGTCGAATCTTAGAACTGATATTGATTGATGTCACCTTCTTTACTGCTATATCTGTACGTTTGTTGTTGTTGGTGGTGGTGGTGGCGGTGGCGGTTGCGGTTGCTGTTGTTGTTGTTGTTGTTCAGGATGAGGAGTTGACATCATGTGTTGAAGATTTCCTCAAGACATCAGATTTAGATTCTGTGACTGTCAAAGCCATCTTGCAAAAGGTAAAGTGTCGTTTCCTGTGTGGTGGCTGTACATAAACACAGCAACATCCTAACAAGTACTTATTACTCTACAACGGTTATGTAGTTCCTAGTCCACAACTTCCTACTCCACAACGGCTTCATTCCACTGTAACTTAATAGAACTGAGACATGTCTGAAAAGGTGAAAACACATTGTCCGGAGTATGACGTATCGAAGTCGTGCGCTTACATATCAACTCAATACCGGTATGACGGCCTTGCAATTTTGGATGCCATTTTCTCATCCGGCAATGTTGTTCCTCAGGTATTTCTCAAGTACAAGAGCCATGACCTCAGCGAAAAGAAGGATTTCCTCAAGTCAACGACTAAATCAGTAAGGTGTTTCTCCTCTTGTTGAGTGTGATTGAGCAACCTGAACCTGAACCTGAAGCTTATTCTTGTCTTGAGTGTGATTACCCCCACCCAGAGTGTGCAACTGCCTGTGCCGTGTCTATCAAGAGTACTTATCCCATGCTACGGGGTGGAGGTCCGTTTTCAGCCAACCAGATGCCGTCCTCAGCGGGGAATGTTCCGTAGTATTCGGATTAAATTCCCCTCCAGCATTCCCCGCTGTTTAGCGCAGTACACACTTTGTACCACCTAGGACCCCCGAGCGTTGTACGTACACTGGCGCACTGCCACTGTACCAGGCCCTGCCAAAGCAAAGGCAGTACCAGACATGATAGCAGTACTCCAGGCGCACGTAAAACACATGAGAGATCAATCCCAATGGGCACCACATGCACGTGCACGCTTCAAACTGACCGAAAACCTTTGCATGCGCCTTGCAATACAATACTATTCCCTTTGCATGCACCTTGCAATACAATACTATTCCCTTTGCATGCGCCTTGCAATACAATACTATTTTCTTACCAGTATAAAGTTGATCCATGAAAGGTTCGCGATGGGAAAGAAGAATACCTGGCGACATTATCATTGTTTAATTTGAGCTGAATAAGCCCAGCAGTGACCTACCGCAAAGTACTATACTAGTACAGCTGTATCTAGAACAGATCATGTGCTATGTATTTTTGAGCTGACTTCTAGTCTACTCGTGGCGGAGCATTTTATCAGTGTGCAAATAATATGCATGGGTTTGTCATTATGGTGTGAAGCTCTATCGTCGTAGACGTCCGCTCTAGGCCTTTGGAGGCATCGTGCAAACTCCTTCCGGTACCCCCGTCCCGAAAAGTGCTATTGAGAAATTAATGAGGAGTTGCACGCTCTTGGGGGTTATGTACTCTTAGTTACTGTAAAACCGGGAATTTTCGGTGGTGTAATATTTTCGATCTTTCCCAAAAATCAACGGTTTGGTAGCGCGAAAATTTCGGTAAACCAGTTTTCCAGATCCGAAAATGCGGTTTGCACACTGTGTGGCATGGTTGAATTTTGGGTTGCGTTTAACTTTAGGTAAAAAAATTACCTGTACCGAAGTTTATAGAAAAGAAAAGGGACCAAGGAACTACAAGTCACGCTATTATGTTCTTTTTTATAAATTTATCCTTGGCTCTCCATCCGAGTCCATTCTTGCACCGAAGTTACCGAAAATTAATCTCCACCGAATTTTCCGGTTTTACAGTACCGTAAAGTACCGCCAGAGCGCCCCGTCTCGTCAGAGCGCCCCACCTTGATTTTACAGCCACGGGAAGAAAATCGTATGGCAGAATGCTACTAAGTTTGTACGGCGTGAGAACCTTCTTGTACGAAGGTCGCACTTGGCATGTTTTAATGTGGAGCTCACATCCGCTTGAAGGTAAACTGGGTACGGATTGACTACACAACGTGCAATGTGTGTACACGGTCTACACGGTCCGTGTCATATTTCCTACAGACAGGAAACCACCTCCACAAGACAACCACGAAAGGACGAGATGGTGGGGCGCTCTGGCGGTACTTTACGGTATATGCCTAGATGAAACATGCTGATCACCTTACTTGTTGATATTGCTGGTTTGTTCTTGGTGTGCAGCTGTTTACTGAGATGACATCATAACGCAAAGTATCAACAGATGTATTCACTGTAAGTTTATATTAACATGGAATATGACGTGCTGGGGGCAGGTTACTCTCTCTCTCTCTCTCTCTCTCTCTCTCTCTCTCTCTCTCTCTCTCTCTCTCTCTCTCTCTCTCTCTCTCTCTCTCTCTCTCTCTCTGTCTCTCTCTCTCTGTCTCTCTCTCTCTCTGTCTCTCTCTCTGTCTCTCTCTCTGTCTCTGTCTCTCTCTCTCTGTCTCTCTCTCTGTCTCTCTCTCTCTGTCTCTCTCTCTCTGTCTCTCTGTCTGTCTCTCTGTCTGTCTCTCTCTCTCTCTCTCTCTCTCTCTCTCTCTCTCTCTCTCTCTCTCTCTCTCTCTCTCTCTCTCTCTCTCTCTCTCTCTCTTGACTTCATCTTGCTCTGTGGGGTGGCAAAAGTCTGTTTGTATTGAGTGTCGACAAAACGTTGTTACAACTTATCTTTTGTGTTCTTCAAGAGGGGCTTTTATTTGAGTGAGCACGGTAAGGTGGGTATGTTTCTGCCGGAGAGTTATTTTTACTACTCCTGGTAGCTAAAACGGTGACACTACACCAGGTGATGCGAGTGTTCGCCGTCGACAGCAGACCCCATAGAAAGGGTATCCAGGGGTTCACACTCTTGGGAGCTTCTGTACTCTTGGTGACATGCACATGTACATGTACATGTTGACATTCTGACATTCTGTCGCCTTTGCCTTCACTTACAAGTCATGTACTTTGTGCAGAAACCCGATACGGAGAATCTTAGCAATGAAACCACTACGTGTCCACACCACGTGCTAAGTACGAGCACACACACACATCGATCGACTTGTGAACATTTTACTGTTTCATGATCGCCGATTTAGTTGAATTTTGGAGTCAAAATTGTCTCCTATCAGCTTTCACAACTGTATGCCTTTCTCGAAAAGTCGTCAATGTCACTCGAATGCCTTTGCCAATTTATGATCTCGAGAATAAGTCTGTGGCCGTGCCATTTTTAGCCACACCGTGACTTAGACTAAATTGCTTCGCAGCTTTTTGCAAACATGTACAGTCTTGAAGGGGAGAGAGGGCTAATTTAGGTTTGAGCAACTACCTCGCTTTTCCGGACAGCTAGCGTTTTTATAATTAATTTTTAAAAGGTTCATCAGCGGAGTTGAGAGGAGTTGAGAGTAACTGGCCGAACTGATCACAACAAAGTCTAGTGAACAACAAAACCCTTGCTTTAATCCGCTGCTCAAAGCGATTTAACTGAGAGTAACACGAGCCAAGTATGATGTTGGTGTTTGGTAGCTTTTTTCTTTCAATAACTCTCTCTCTCTCTCTCTCTCTCTCTCTCTCTGTAGTATAGTTGGCATTTACTCTTTCCAACTTTCAGTTACTTGTGCCTGATGTATCAGGAACTGGCATTGCAAAGGTGAAGGCTAAACATTGTATCATGTTTCCCTTTCATTTTATTTTTCTATGCCCCAGGCTACAGGCTCATTTCATTGTACCCCGTGGAGGTACTGGACATCTATGTGGAGTTTCATGTTCAATCTCTTTGTCATAGGATGATAGGGCATTATTATCTTAGAGCATATTTGGTTTTGGTTTTCATGAATTCTAGGACTGGCTTTGAACAGACAAGAGTTGCCAATCTGTGGTGTGTGTGTATGTGTGTGTGTGTGTGCGGTGCGTGTGCGTGCGTGCATGTGCTTGCAGAAGTGCTATGTGGATGTCTAGCTTTTTTCTGTCACTTCTAATACCTATTCTTAGTGGAAGAGCATCTTTAAAAATTGTTTCTAATTGAAGGCAGAGCTTGTTTTTCTAATTGAAGGCAGAGCAGCTTGTTTTTCTAATTGAAGGCAGAGCAGCTTGTTTTTCTAATTGAAGGCAGAGCAGCTTGTTTTTAGACCCTTTACTAGTATGTACTAGAAGAAGTGGTTGTTGAAATCGAATCTAATAATTACAGTATGATTTTAAGCACGATGATAGCGTTATGCCCTGTCACTGTGTGCAAGCACATTGCCCTCTAATGTGGACGTGCAGGTGTGCAGCGACACCATTGCGTATGCTAGGTGTTACTTCTTTTGGTTTGTTTGTTTACGTAATGCACTTCCACTTTTTCCATACGTTCAGTGGTATGACTGTGCAGTTGTCACAAGTAAAATTCTGACCGATGTGCACTTTCAGAGTCGGAGACCCAGTTTGATGACCCCATCTACCTGTGCTGGAGCAAGAGAGTGCTCAGGACGTCGAGGTCGTGTACCTGTGCTGCGCTTCAAGTGTGCATGCTCCAGTATGACTGTGACATGATTATGAAGAAGAGGTTGGTGCAACTTTGGCGATACTTGGGAAATTGTGTGTCGCTCCCTATGTGGGAGCTCGCAGTCGGCAGGAAAAACGCGAGCTCCCACGTAGGGAGCGACACACAACTCCCTACATTAAATTATATACTTCAGTACATTCCCAATGCTGTAGACAGCAAGCTGTTTCGGCCATAAAGGCCTCATCAGTACACCTATGAGCTACTTCAGTACATTCAATAGTTGTGATAATTATGATGACAGGGTGCTGAATTGTTTGGTGTGCTGGAACATTGTGTCCGGCTAGAGATATGTGACACGTTGTCAATTGGACGTGTTTACCAACTTCTATTTCTTCTTCTTTTTTTTTAAATAATACACATGCGTGATGTTCTCTCTCCCGAGCCCAAATCTTTGCTGATGATGGTTATTTCATGGCACAAACATTGGATTAATTTTCCTGAAATGAATTTCTGAAAATGCAGTATAAATTGAGTGTAGAGCCAGTGTTGCTCACCATCCATTCCTGGAAACAAAATTTCCAATACAGTAGTCAATTTAAAAAATTCACATACATTGGCATTGGCTGTTCACCCTAACCAGGTCGGTTTCTTCACCCTTGCACCTTTGTCATATCTTACGCTAAGAGGCTGATTTCATAGGCATAGAGCCAGGGCTTATGACTGTATGTGTATGATGTTTGCCAAACACATACTAGTAGCCTATACAGTATTAGGAACAAGAGTTCAAATGAGCATATTGCCGTCTTACATGCTCTTCTCTGCGCTGTTTCTATTGCCTCTCTCTAGTCTCTCTAGTCTGTCTCCGATATTCAAGACCTTTTTTTCTTCATGTATGTATAATCCCACCACAAAGTGGTCAAAGACCGAAATCCCATTCACTGCATCCATGTTTCCCTCGTGCCAGGCCACGAGTTCCCAATTAATTAACTGTGGGTCGCAGCACGGCTGGAAAAAATCCTTCCGCTTCCAAGCAGGACTTGAACCTGGTAGAGGGGACGGTTTCAAATAGGACACCGGTTGCAAACCGGAACGGACTCAATATTCACTTTCTCTCTTGGTATTTTGATTAGAAAACATATGTCACAGTGAGACTACGATGTGTTATACTCCGAGCCAAAATTTCATGGCTCTGCGATGACCAGAAGCGCCATATCAAGCAGGTGAGTTTTTGACGTGTTGCTTCGCACTGCGACTTGAGTTTTACGACTTTCGAAAAATCAACTTCTTGTCGCAGGTAAACAGCGGCTCGCCTCTCGCCAATAAAGCACCGCATACCAATCAAAACTAATGGAAGCACACACAAGGCTTATTGTTACTCTGTACTGGCCGTCGTGGAGCGATAGCAATTACCTAATTTCAGACCCAGAGTGAATTTGACGTGCACTCTAAAACGTGTCCGGTTTGGAGCCACCTCTGATTTGAACTTTTTTGAAGCGAAAAATTGGGCAACTTGGAGGCAATGGGTCAACACAAAGGAGTGGCTCAGTTCGATTGACTTTGGCCCCAGAGCAAACTTCAACATGCCAGTTTCCTTCCACAAACATATTTTGAGTGAAAAATCAACGCTGATGATCGGTTTGGGTCTATACAAATTTGGCTGTCAAAACGTCCCGGTATCGAGCCGTCCCCTCTACCCTCTGTTTCTCTATCAGTCTATGGTCTTAGACCATCCCACTATGTTTGATCTACTCACCTCCCACCGCTTAGGAGCTGCATCTGCGCCTTGATCCAAGAGGGTGGTGGCGTTCCTGGGGATGCGGAAAACTGGACCTTTGGCCGAGTCTCACGCGAACCGTGAAAAAAATGTATAATCCATAATTATAATGATGATGATGTGGAAAGCCTGGTGTCGGAGTCAACTGCATGCATGGTCAACACCCATCTCTGACTCTGGTTTACCCGGCTCTGTAGCAGTAGCCGCTGTTGACACAGCATACAGAGAACCAGCTGTAGTAACTTATTATAGCTTTACTGATAATTAATAGTGTGTTGCTCCCTACGTGCGATCTTGCGCTGTTCCTGCCAACTTGCTGAATTCTCACTTGACTGACTCACGACTGCCATCCAGAGCACACGAGAAGTCCATCGAACTTTCCACTCAGCAAACGGTTGAAACCTGCAAGAAAGTACCACTCCCTGCTCAATACACAGTGTTTCGGGGAATTCAGCCCTCATCAGATGAGCTTGAGTAGGCTGAGGAAGATTGTGCCTGAAGAGCATCACTTATAGTGCTCTCCAGGCACAAACATCACCAGGGATACGAACTACTGTACTAACAGAGACGCTCCGTTTCCAGCGCCACAAACACCTCGTGAACACCAGATAGCAGCGCGAGTCAGTGTCCATCGGCTCATCATCGGGAGGTGCTGAACAAACGCTGAGGACCGTTAGCCATTCACAACGTTGTTGCCTCCAAACCATCTCATTCGCAAACCCGGGCCTGGGACAACAATGTGAAGAAGAGGTTGGTGCCGAAGTCGCACCAACCTCTTCTTTACTGATATCGCCGTTTTATAGTTGACCCCACTCAAATGCACAGTCGACTATTGATGATAAAGATGCTATAGCCCTCCCAATCGGTCAATTATCTGTAAATGTGTTTCTACTACCAGCAGACTACTCTATTCCTGGAGTAGATTTGCTATACCCAACTACAGAAGCGCTTGGCCTTACCAATCACTATCGGGTATATAGTATGGTGGTCTCGTTATTCGAGTATTCCTGTAGTGTGCGAGGACACAGATGTGCAGTGCCGTATCAGTGGAAATGTCTGCGCCTGTCCTCCATTATGCTGCACTAGCCTGCAGTCTCGGTCTAATGCATTTACGCCGGGTCAGATTGTTTCTGCGATCAGGGTTCTCCGGAGGGATGAGTACAATCGGCATGCAGCCGAGGAGCAGCAGATGGAGGTAGGCACTGCACTTACCCTCAGTGCGTGTTGCTGGAAGTCTCCTGAGTTGCAGGTGTTGGAAGTTGGCTCATGGGCCACGGCAGACGCCCTGGCCTCCCATGGATTCGTCCTGAACAAGTCTGCCTTCCGTGATGTGGTGGCGACTGCTGGCCACTGGATGAACTACCACCATCTGGCATCATGTGTATGCGGAGTAGCCATGTCACTTGATCACGCTGCGGTCTGTCCCACGGGAGGCTAGGCTACCCAAGTTTCCGTCGCAACGAGGTTCAGTAGATCTGTTGGCGGAGGTCACTGGGAGGTGTTTTCGGCACCATTCCGGATGTCAAGATTGACCCCACGTTGTTGCCAGTCACTGGTGCCATTGCCAATCGTTCTGCTGCCTTGCTGGGGCTTGTTTGGACATCAACGCAAGTAAAGGGGGTTTCTACCATTCTGATCTCGACGGCGAACAATCATGTACTGTACACAGGATCACCTGTCTAAATAGACGGTCATCTTTGGCGTGCCCATCAATCATGCGTGTACTTGTACATTTCATCTTCTATAGACTACAATAATTACATGTACATGTAATTGAGTGTCATACGATACATGTAACCGTCATGTACTGTTTAATGTACATGACTGTGCTTTTGTCGTATTGATTTCATGTGTCTGTGCTTCCTTTGCATTTGGCCCAACAAACATGCTTGTAAGATTCGGATGGAGAGCCAAGGATTAAAATAATTAATTTAAAAGAAAGACCAAAGTGTTACATGCTATCAAGAGTACATAACCCCCCAGAGTGTGCAACGCCTGATCCAGCTTTGTGTAGGGTCTTGGTCGAGCGGAATCGGATCTTTGCGTCATAATACCGTACACATCTGAGGGGAACCCGGGGAGTCGCGGGTACTCTTGGATCAAAAACAATGGTGCCCTGCCTCGAGACCGGCCTTGCGCTGGTGTGAAGTGTACGCATGACATCAGAAGATCCGATTCCGCTCGACCAAGACCCTACACAGAGCTGGATCAGGCGTTGCACACTCTGGGGGGTTATGTACTCTTGATGCTATCCATAGTTCGTGTCCAACACTAACGGCAGTCATAAGCAACATGTTGTGTAGTCAGAAGGTGTAACAGCTGGCACAATACAGACTGATGTGATACTGACATTCAACTAACATCAATATACATGTACATGTACATGATTGTACATGTACATGTACATGTATGACCAGGTTCTCAGTCAAAGATGGAGCTCAGCTCGCGAAGGGGTTTCTAAGGGAAGGTAAGGTTCGCACGTCCGCGTTACAACCGGCTATGCATTTGTGTTGAGAAACACAACCAGCTTATTACTGACGCCGTGACGATACCGTGGCATGTGCTAGCAAGAGTAAAATCTTATGTAATTATTTACTCTTGGTGCCGGTAACAGTTGATCACTTCTTTGAACAAAGTCACAGACTCACAGTTCGCTTGTCCGCCATTTACAGTAATTCTCAGTAAGTTGTTCCCTGCTAGTGACGAGAACCGAATGGAAACACCATTGTAAAACCCTACAGGATCTTCCTTGTACCTGCGTTGGTGTGTGTGTACTGTACATGTATGTGGGCGAGGGGGGGGGGGGAGGGTCAGGACTCGACTGCTATCCCTGGAAACGTATTACCGGTATATCCCACTCACAAAAGAGGAAACGAGACCAGCCATGCCAGTGAGTTATGACCGTCCAGACCCGTGCCCAGCTGAGCTGAGAAACGCAAACTGGGCACATGTACACCGTAACACGGGTAGTCACCATGGTCACAGTGAACGGCAGTCACCATGGTCACAGTGAACGGCAGTCAACTATTGTACTTCTATGTACATGTGACTGTTACCATGGCTACAGGCTACAGCTGCACCTCTTGACATGATTATTGGGAAAACAGAAATTCTGGATAGTGTTCAGTCTACTGCATGTAGTTGATAGATTTTGCTTGACATTGATTAGGCCCGGGCATATCCGGCTTGTATAATAGAATAGTTATAATTATCTCCTAAAAATACAAGAGGGATGTTTTGGCACAACTGACAAGCAGCAGGAGAAGCAGTACCAGTGATGGTACAAGACTGTCAAGAGTAGTGTGCGAGAGCGCAACAGCCACGGTTACCAGCTCACATGTCATTCAACTCCCTCAACGTTTCCTCTAGCTGTTGCTTGGTTGCCACATTGTCTTCACGCGCGGCTTCCAGGTTGCGCTCCAGTCCTTCGTTCTCCTTTTCTAAGCGATCACCTCTTCGTTTTGCCTCCTCGGCTTCTTGTTCGACACGTCTCAATTCTTCATTCAGCGTCTTGACTTTCTCACCCAGATCTCCCTCTACTCGGTCCAGTTCTTCTTCAAGCATTTGGACTCGTGCCTCCAGTTGTGTAGCACGAGATTCAGCCGTGCTAGCACGCTCATCTGCGGTTCGCCTAAGGTCTGTCTGCCCCTCTGCCTTGTCAAGGTCTCCCTCCAGTAGTTGCACCTGGCGTCTCAACTGTTCCATATCAGCTTCCAATGCCATAGTGACTTGTTCTTGTTCTTTGAGCTTGATCTCGGCAGCGTCAGCTCTCTCGGCATTCTGGTCTGCCTCAGTGCGGAGCTTCTGAACCTTCTGCTTGATGGTCTCCATAATGAAAGCACAGCTTCTACCTGTTTCAGTGAACTATAGTCAACCTTTGACGGAGCAAACAACCCGCTCACGCTGTGCCACGAATGTCGACAGCAAGGTTCTCTTTTGACCTGATCCGCCCGACACCTTTCTTCAGTTATGCTACTTTCTACAGTGTCGTTCTGCTGAAGTGTTCCGTCTTTTCTACCCGTCCGTAGGGTGTGTCAGTAACCTGGCTCAGTACAACACACACTGAGCTACTCTCCTGGTAGCCGCATGATGCTAGACTCAAAAGCAGTGCCAGTGGACGGCCGAGCCTAGCCTAGCCGAGCCCAGCCTAGCCTCGCCGGCACCGAACAATGTATGCAGCGTGTGTTGAAGGGAGCTGCCCATCGTCTTGCAGCAGCAGGAGCATGCAGCAGCCACACCGCTGTCCTGATGCAGTTCCCGGGCAAGCCGGCCAGGCAGCACTGCTGTGCAGTGTGATGGGTGCATCGACAAGTACAACAAAATGTTCATGTACATGAAACGCTAGCAGCTTCAAAGCCTGCACGCGCGGCTGGTTGCGGTCTTGGAATTGGGTAGACCTAGGCTAGAGTGAGTAGTAGATCTACTTTGTATGTATCCCAATCAGTGTCACAGCTGATTCACTCTAGTATAACAGCTGATATTTTTCAGAATTCAGCCAGCTGGCAATAAGGCAAATGCATAGAGAAAGGTTTTACCACAGGTTTGTGATTTTTGACTTGCAGTCCAGATACATTTTACTAGAGCGGTTGAGTCGAACCTGCTTTCAATGATGCAGGTTCGTCTTTCCTGTGAGGTCGAGCGGGCCGGGTCTTGAAACGCGAAGTTAAAAAATGAAAATAAGAAAAACGCGAAACATTTCCCTGTGACTGTGTGAGTGTTGCTGTCTGGTATCGATGCGTCCTGATACAGGGCCCTAGCTCGACTAGTATACCAGTACACCGCCGCTGCAGTAAGCAAAGGAAAGGTGCTAGCACAGAGAGGAACTGGATGTCGCAGAGAGCTTTCGCGCAATTCGCTGTCCATTCTCAACTCGAGATATCATTGCACGCGAGCACGCACTTGTTTTATCTTGTCAAGTGCGTGCGTGCTGCCAGGACTAGTCTTTTACATGTACCTGCTGCCATGGCACATGGCGTAAGCCACTTACGTTTGGAACTTGCCTCATCGCTGAAAAATAAAAATGAAGAGAAAAAAAGGCGAATGGGTACTCATCGGGGGATGAACATTGGAAATAGAGGTAAAGAAAGAAAGGGAAAAGAAGAAACTGAAGAAAAGAAGGATAAAAACTGCTCAAGAAAACCCCCAGTAAATACAGACAAAACACTGAAGAGTCACACTATAGATGAGAGAGAGAGAGAGAGAGAGAGAGAGAGAGAGTGAGAGTGAGAGTGAGAGAGTGAGTGAGAGAGAGAGAGAGAACATTGGAAATAGAGGTAAAGAAAGAAAGGGAAATGAAGAAACTGAAGAAAAGAAGGATAAAAACTGCTCAAGAAAACCCCCAGTAAATACAGACAAAACACTGAAGAGTCACACTATGGATAGAGAGAGAGAGAGAGTGAGAGTGAGAGTGAGAGTGAGAGTGAGAGTGAGAGAGTGAGAGAGAGAGAGAGAGAGAGAGAGAGAGAGAGAGAGAGAGAGAGAGAGAGAGAGAGAGAGAGAGAGAAAGAGAAAGAGAAAGAGAGAGAGAAAGAGAGAGAGAGAGAGAGAGAGAGAGAGAGAGAGAGAGAGAGAGAGAAAGAGAGAGAGAGAGAGAGAGAGAGAGAGAGAGAGAGAGAGAGAGAGAGAGAGAGAGAGAGAGAGAGAGAGAGAGAGAGAGAGAGAGAGAGAGAGAGAGAGAGAGAGAGAGAGAGAGAGAGAGACAGAGAGAGACAGAGAGACAGAGAGACAGAGAGACAGAGAGAGAGAGAGAGAGAGAGAGAGAGAGAGAGAGAGAGAGAGAGAGAGAGAGAGAGAGAGAGAGAGAGAGAGAGAGAGAGAGAGAGAGAGAGAACTGGAAGAGAGAGAAGTAGTAGAGAGATTGTACAGTTGACACTGAAGTGAGGAATGCCAGCGAAGAGACACGTACATGTACATGTACATAATACGGTACATGTATGCAGTAAATCAAAAAGCGGAAGACGAAACTTTCCAGAAGATGATTTCCTACATACAATGTAGGCTCTCAGGTTTGATCCAGGCAAGGGATAAGCCGAGAAGGAGTGCCAGAGTGAGTCCACAAGAAAAGCCTAATGAACTGATACTTTGTGCTGCAGGAGCACTAGAAGTTTTGGCACTCCAGAGTCCAGAGGCTAAACATCACCTGCAGGGACACCGATTTACAGTGCCGCTCCATCTCCAGTGCGTGAACCATGATCGCACTTCTCGAACTTCAGGCAGCAGTGTGAGTCGTGTCGCCTATTTAGGTGGGAAGCAAGCGCTAAGGACCATTGGCCATTCACAACGTTCGACGGTTGCTTCCAAGCCAGTGGTAGGCAGGGCTACTACTAGTAGTCGCAAGCCCGCACTCCGGGCTGTTGGGGCAACTGTCCCATGCCAACAGGGTAGCTCCGGATTTGCAAATGGAGGAGGTCAACAATCATAATAATTATTGTAGGGTTTCACCTTGGTGTTGACTGGTTCTGAAGGTTCTGTGAGCACGGATAATGAAGAGAGTTGTGGGGTGCAGGGTGAAGAAAGTGAAATTGATGACACTGCACACGAGGTCGAGGGGGGAAATATGTTTAGGACTACGCTGTAGGCTGGTCGATCTGCATTGGCGAAACGGGAATTCCCCGGTATTACACCAGGTACACTCCATTGCATGATCGTCAGGCGTCATGCCTGGTACTAGTATTTTACGACTCCCTGGTTGTAAAATACCCTGCCCCTGGTTTGACTAGTACTAGTAGTACTAGTAGTACAGTAGTAGATCCACGCCGTTATGGGTTGATCAGGACTGGAGCAACCTTATCCAACGAGTGCATCACCCCAAAATCTCGCCGGGGTATGTCCTGTCTCTTGAATCCTCACTCGACTTGGTTTGGAAGTCACAGCAGCTACATAGTTGTAGTTGCTCAGCCACTCCACCTACTCTACTACTACTCTCAGCCACTCCACCTACTCTACTACTACTCTCAGCCACTCCACCTACTACTACTAGCAAGTACATGATTGTAGTCTGCCCGGTAGAATCTACTCGGCGGTAGATCTCTCGGGTAGGGCCAGGGGTTTGCTGCACGCGGCCAGTCCTGCTAGTAGATCTACTGTATTATTATAAGTTATAACCTAACTAACAATACGCGTAGATCTACTGTACTAGCAGCTAGCTGACCTTGGTGCGATGATCTGGCCTCGAAGGTCTGTTAGGGGCAAGGCATCCTAGCAGAGGCTATCTACGCAGCACGGTTTGTCAATGTCATGATATCAGAGAATGGACAACTAGTACTGGGAGTGATCATGGTGAGATTGAGAAGCAGTCTGCAGTGCGGCTGCTACTCGCCAGTACTCGTACTTGTCTTTGTGAATAAACCCTTTTCTCAAGTACTAGTAGTACACATACACGTATACGTAGGCAGCCACACGCCCAACCCTGAACAACAATCGCCGTCGGCGGCCTTTCGTTCTGGGAAGGCAGCACTTCCTTCAACTAACTTCAAGTAATAGTTGCGGCACCCACACCTGACCATGTGTCCTGTGTGTGGCGACATAACAGTCACTGCTCACGCCTGGTAGATCTACATGGTGTGGTATGCTACTGTGACAGTGATACAGACTCAGTGTGACACTGATGTTACTTGTACTTGTAGCACAACCAGGTCAGACTCAGTGCAGCAGTACAGTCCAAGCGGGCGTTGTTGCAGTCAGCGTTCTACTTCTACATCGACACCCTGATTGTTCATCATGTCACATAATTGTGTGTATTTCATCTAAGCTAAGGCTCTCTTCTCAATGGGAGACGTATCCATTGCCAATGAGCAAGTGTACATGACGTTGTATTAATATTTATGTAGGTACATATTGCGCAGGCTACAACTAGCGTCAGTAACAGTTACGTTACGTTGGGTGCCACAAAACGTGCTGCTGAAGAACGGTCGCGCGTCCCGCCACATCCAGGCTCAAATGTTCTTTTTAAACTTCTAAAACCTTTTGCCAAGTTTTGGCTTTGTAAGCATAATCCCACTACATGTACTTGCTGAGCATTGCATTACCCCGAACGACGCCTACAATGCGATCCGGTGGTCTAACTAAACTGAGTAAACTGAGTAAACTGACTGGAAGGAGCAAAGCAGCACACCAGTAACACTAATAGTCCATTCTTTGCTCAGGCTACTGTCCAACTGTCCAACTGTCCAACTTACTTGGATGTTGTAGTCTTCTTGGATGTTGTAGTCGTCTTCGTTGCGCTTACCACATTCCCCAGACTCTTTCAGTGGTCTCTCCGCTTCAGTCTAACCAAGATGTACTCTTGGTCTAACCCGAACCTTCCAAATATTAATTGGAAAGTTGTTGGTTTGCGCTTCGTAGATGTGTTGGAACAAGTGTCAGATCGTTGAATGTCTTATTGCTAGTATACACAAATAGGAGATCCCCCCGATAGGCGTCAGCCTTTGGGTAATCCTGAAATAAAGATTATTATTATTAGTAGTACTAGTACATGTACTGTAGTAGTGTGGTAGCAAGAGTACATGAATTTCATGTACTCTTGGTGGTAGTAGTACCCCTGTCAAGCATTGGGTGCCTAGTCTTTGCACTTTCTGACTACAGTAGGGTGAGAACTTGCGGAAAAATCATTCGATGGGCATCAGAAGTTGGGATTTCTCAGACTTGGCCAAAGTAGGGTGAGTTCATCATGTTCATCATGTTCATCATGGCGACCTAAGAGTTTCCATGCAATGCTCGCCGGTAGAAAAATTATGAATACCTCTTCATAGTGAAGTAGTCACCTACCTGGTTCCAGTGTCGGTGGTCACAGTCAATAATTATTTTCTCAGGTTTCACCCTATATGTGCTCGCAAAGGTAGTAGATTTTCTCCACAAGTAAGTTCTACCTCGAGTGACCTTGCTGCTCAATGACGTTGTGCTCATGGTCGCGAGTCATGCTAGGTCGACACCTACAATTATGTAATAAACTTCGGAGAGCAGAGTCCTCCGGGTCGTCCTCCGGTTCGGCAGGTGTAGTATCTTGCATAATAGCCTCGCTTGACGTCGCGTCATCATGGTCATTTCTTTTCATTTTCCTCGCCTATGCTAAGCACCTATAGCATCACAGCGCGTG